GTAGCTGACTTAGTTTTATCGCTTTTTTGACTCATCCCTGAAATTTCTGTTTCCCATGTTCTGTGTTTACTGTCTTGCTGTCCAGGCTGACATACAGGTTGATGTCACCAGAGGCTTAATGCATCTTGTCAAATTTTATATACTTTATAAATACTTGAGTATTTATAGCTTTGAAAATTACTAGGAATTTACTTTTATTTGGTTTAAATTCCAGTTGGAAGAATTATCTGTTTCTTACCCTGCAGTAATATCCTAAGGGAAACAAATGCCATCAGTTTAGATCTGCAGCTAACCAAACGGAAATAGCAGAGAGTAGTTTCAGGAATACCCTCTGAACTTTCCAGTAGGGATGGTGTGGATTTAGATTAGTGAAAACATCCATATTTTTGTCATGGTTTTTGCTCAGTGAATCAATGGTTTTCCCTTCTGTTGACTCTTGAAAGTCATGCCTTAGAGCATTTCCAGAGATTAGCAATCTTGTTCATAATAACAAGACTGTCAGTGCGATACTCCTTTGGATAAATCAAAGTTTTCTCAATATTGGCCTATTTTGCTTACACTGGTTATATTTGGCTATTCATGGTGATTATTCCCTTTTAATGCAAATCACTTATGGCCCCTCCTAGAAAGGTTATTCTTATTCTAAGTTTGTACTTCACAATATTGTGTTCCAAGTGAGGGAACATTTACTTTTCTTCTGTGGTCCGGAATTTCGTTTTCAGTTGTTTTAAAAGACCATAAAAAACCATAAGTCTAATGCTGCAGTAAGAATCTCTTCTGTTTTGTGACAGTGGTAAATATTTCCAGAAACACACAGCAGTGTGCCTTGCAGAAAGATGTGTAAGACAGAATAAAATCTCATTTGTGCTACATAAAACACAGTTATAAAAAAATGATAGTAAGAAAAGTAAATCTTAGTTCTTCACTTCTATGTCCACATTAGCAAAAAAAGAAAGACAAAAGGAAAACAAAGATCTTTACAAAAAAAGTATTGCAATAGACATTGTCTGACTGGATTATCATGTTATAAAGGAAATTGTGGCATAGTTAAAAAATAGTTGCAAGTTGGAGTTTCTAAGGAGGTTTTTCTTCTGAAATGTTCTTTGACTTGATTTGATAGCCTTGTTTTCTTCTCATCATAGGCCATTGTTTAGAAGAGTGCAGAATTTTAGGTGATCAAAGTGGGTTTGTCAGGAGTAAACTCAGAGTCATTTGCACTTTTCTTTTTGTTGCCTTTTAGGGAAATCAACATTAAAAGAAGCAGAAAAACCTTTATAAGTATTTAGTTGAAAGTATTTTTGTTTATAAGAAGCAATAAAGTAGCTGCCAAATTCTTTACAAGTGCTTCAGATTATTATAGAAATCATACCTCGTGTTATAAAATGTAAGGGCTCCCACCATCCCAGTTTACAAATCATCAGCTGCTCACAGAAAGCACGTGCATAAACCCATATCTAGCCCAGCATAATAACAATATGCATTAAGTTATTGTACTAGGAAATGGCATTCCATATTACAGAACTTTAGATCTTCAAAGATACTACAAAAGGCCCCAAACTGACAGCAGTTTGCAGCACCGATTTCAATTTCTTCTTGAAGGTGATTTTTTTTCACCACTGAATCCTTGCACTCCTCTCTGATTCTCAGGTCATTTGGCACTCAGTGTCAACAAGCATTTTTATCATGATAGACCTGTATCATCTTAGAGATTCTTACCATAGTGCAGCCTTCTGAGAGAACAGTTATCTTTCCTGTATCTGTGGCATTGTGTGATGTGCACAGCTCTTACTGTGGTGACAGAAAAGTTATTCCCAGCTGAATGTATAAAAGGAAAAATGAGAACAAGATGTGGCATTAATACCATGGTGTTTGTTAAAAGTTTTTGTGTATTTTTTTTTCCCAGTACAGCATAAGGTGAAGGCAGAAAGGACCCCGGGAATCTACTGCAAAAGCTGACAGGGACCCTAAAGCAGTTCTTTAGTTTAAAATGTAAAAACCTGAGGGTGAATATAACATGTGAAGATGGGAAGGTGAAGGACTTTTGTAAGGAAGGTGTTCTGCATGAAACAGAACAACATTAGGCCAGTTCTGTATGATTAACACAAAATTAATCCTGATTTACTGGCTGGGTTTTGATTTCTGTGTGATTTTTCAGCAGTCTTTGTGGCTGGGACACACCATCCTTGTGCTGAAGCCATTCTGAACATGGGACTCTTGCCTCTGTACTTTGCTTCCCTTTCACATATACCCTGTTCTGAGAGAGATGATTTACAGCTCCGGCTCTGTTCAGAAGTCAGTAGCTGAGGCTTTGGCGTGTGTCTGCATGTAGTGTGTGACCTACACATGTGCCTGTGACCTTGGTGCAGTCAGCAGAGCTATTCTGATTGAGCTGCAGCTGACAATCTGTAAACTGACCATAGTCATTAGCTTAAAGACTATCCCATTCCACTAGATTAGCAGATGTGTGACTTCCAGACCAGCTTTCTCAGTGTTTGAATACTAGGAAGCAGCAGAAATAGTCTGATGTAATAGTTGGTAAAGTTAGCCTCCAAAATCCAAACTTGCCATAGGAAACATTTCTACCCTTTGCCCTCTTCTTTTTTAATGGAAAACTTAGCATCAGTTTCTGACAAATCACTTTGATTTCGTATGAAGAACATTATTGATTATCAGTCAGGGGACATAGAGGTAAAATGTGATTAATCCATCTTAGTCAGTATTGTTATTTATTCCCCTTAATCCAGCACATTTCTCCACATTTCTGCCCATAACTTACAGACAGATGCGAGGCTGGTGGCAGACCTTGTGTAAAGGACTATTGTGAAACTGTATTGTGGCTGGGCTACCACTGTCCTTGTGGAATGCTTTACCATGGGGCTGTAATCCATGTTGCGTAGCCGGTATTTGCTATTCACCTGGTCATTGCCAGGAGAATGGTCCTGAGGCTTGGAATCCTTTAGCAGTCATATGATGGGTGGGTTTTTTTTTTTTCATATTAATGATTTCCTGCAAAAACAATGTGAAGATCATGCCAGGAAACTAATAAATTGTTAAGCACTGCATGGTACATGTGTCTTCTAGCAAGGCAGTTGTGCTGCCTGGGTGCTGGGTTCAGTGGCAGTAGATGTTTCTGGTCTGTGTGGCCCTGAGACTCTTGGCATTGGGTCTTGAGACAGCTCCATGAATGTTGTTGCACTGCACCTTCATCCTTGACTGAGCCCTACACTGGAACAGTTTTGGTCTGGCAATCAGCATGAATTCTCCTGTTTATCAGACATGCCTGGATGGGGGCAGGGGGAATATTTTTCTTTCTTTTCTTTTTTTTATTATTTTAATTTTTAATTATTCCATGAGAAATGGCACTAATTGAACTTTTTTCTGGAAGAACAAAGACTTTTATCTGAATCCAGACTAATGTGTTAAGCAAAAAAAACCAAAAAACAACAAACCAACGATGTAGGGGTTTCTGCTCAGTCATGACAAAACATGCAACTGTCTCAGGCCTCTAGCCACCCATACACATATTTTTATATATCCCAAAATAGCTGGTTTCCTGACAACAATTTCAGGACTGGTTAAGTATGAGAATTACACATTCTATTCTATGCAGTCATGTTCAAAATAAACTTGTATCAGTTCTGAATGAATGTGAGTTATCATGGCAACAGGCAATTTTGTGCTGTAGACAGCAGTGTGTTACAGAACTCTATATAAACCTCTTGTTTGTGCACCACAAAGCCCACACATCTTTAAAGAGAGAGGCCAATAATAAGACAGACAGTTGTTCTAATAATCCAACAGTACTGATGAGTGTTTATAATACATACGCTGCTTTCTGTTGCTCTCTATTTTATTGTGTGTGAGTGCTCACAGTATCCCCATTTTGGATGCATGTTCTAGTGACCTGTCTTGGAAAAAAAAAATCTTAAAGAGTAGATTCTTGAAAATACCCTAATTCCTTTTTTTTTTTTTGTGCAGCCTGAGTGAACAGCTCTTACAGCTGAATAATTCATAGCCTGAGGAGCATTCTTGAATTACTTTGCATTAGTCTAGGAAAGTGTGCCTGTTCTTTGCCTGGGTTTTTTGCCCCAGGAGAAGACTGGGAGAACAAAGGTTGTCAGTCTCCAAGAGAAGAGTTTGAGCTTATGGTCACTGCAATTGAGGCTTTGCCATTGTACTGCTGTTATCAACACAGCATAAAAATAAAATCAGATCATTTGACCATATGATTAGTACATTCCTGTTGAACTCCAGGTGACCTTAATCTTCAGGGTCTTTACAGAACTCCTGTGTTTCTTAAGATGAAATGCCTTCCTTAACGTTAAGTGTTTCTTTGGATGCTGAAATGATGTCTGAGTGACTTACTTATAGGGCTTTAATGGGAGGCATTGGGGCAGACAAGAAAAGATTTGAGTGGTTGTGAAGACACATTGGATAACCAAATCTGTAACATCCATATGAAGTTTCACCATATAATTGTTAATTTTTATTTCTTGGCGAAACACTTTTTGCATTTTCTTTTGCCGTTTCAGTGTATTGCAGGATTGAAAAGGGAATATTTGCAACTATGCAAGTAAGTAGGGATTTCTGGATTAGTCAAAAGTCATAAGTTTACACCAAGCAAGCTTTGCAGCTTCCTTGTGGGATTCAGCCTGTTGTTTGTGGATTTAGACTACATTTTTTTAAGTTAGCAAGACTTCTCCCTGTAAATGGAAGCTAACTGCAACCGTAACTGGTTTTTGATGGTACAGAGTCACAATGAAAAGTTTTGACAGTTAAGAGACTAGAACTTCCGTTGACTTCTTAGCCTCACATTATAAAACGTTTGCTTTTCCATATAAGAATCGGTGCGCACAAACTAAGTCCGGTCTGCCTGCTGAGATCCTTGAGGACCAACTGAGGAACAACTATTCCCAATTTACAGCTTCTTTTTTTTGTTTGTTTGTTTTACAGCTGACTCTGAGCATCTTCATAACATTCTTCCTTTCTTGCCCGTTTAGCATGTGACAGTAACCACTGGGGACCCCACTGCAGCAGCCGCTGCCAGTGCAAGAATGGGGCGCTGTGCAACCCCATCACGGGCGCCTGTCATTGCGCCTCGGGATTCAAGGGCTGGCGCTGCGAGGAGCGTTGCAACCCCGGGACATATGGCAACGACTGCCACCAGAAATGCCAGTGCCAGAACGGAGCAACCTGCAACCACATTACTGGGGAATGCAGGTGTCCACCGGGATACACCGGAGCCTTGTAAGCAGCAGGTGTATTGTTTTGAGGTGCAAGTTTAAAGAGTTCTGGCGAGTGAAATTCAGTTTAGAAGTTTAGATTAACTTTTGTGCAGGGAAGCAAGTTTGAGCAAACCACATTACAGAACACATCTGTATGTGTAACCAAGAAAAATCCCCTTGACTTGGGCTGCTCCCCTTCTCCCCTGCTTGGAGCTTCTTCATGACCATTGTGAAAACAGTTTGGCTGCAAGTTTGGAAAATCACATTACAGAATGACAGAATCAACTAGGTTGGAAAAGATCTCTGAGATCATCAAGTCCAACCTTTGACCTAACACCACTTTGCCTACTGGACCATGGCACTGAGTGTCACATCCAGTCTTTTCTTAAACACCTTCATGGATGGTGACTCCACCACCTCCCTGGGCAGCCCATTCCAATGCCCAACCATTCCTTCTGTAAAGAACTTCTTCCTAATGTCCAAAAATTCTCCCCTGGCACAGCTTAAAACTGTGCTGTCTTGTCCTACTGCTGGTTGCCTGAGAGAAGAGACGGATACCTACCTGGCTACAACCTCCTTTCAGGTAGTTGTAGAGAGTTATATTGAAACATGGAGTTATTTAGTTTTGTCATTCCAGAACAGATCTTGAACTTCTGTCAGTAATGATGAATGAGCGCCAAACTGTGTATAAAGAAGTAGCTTAAAAAGAAACAATTCCTAGATTGCTCCTTAGATTTGTTGCATGGGTGCTGTACAGTATTCAGTGTGCTTATATTGGTGTTGTGCTGCTTTCTCCTTCACATTTTCTGCTGGGAAATTTAATGATAAGGTTAAAAATAAAGACAAACTGGAGCGTGTGCTGAAATAATGGTTGTCTCTGTTGTCTACCACCCCCTCCAAATTCTCCCATCACTCCAAACTCTCCGCAGCTGTGAGGATCTCTGTCCCCCCGGGAAGCACGGCCCACAGTGTGAGGAGAGGTGCCCGTGCCAGAACGGAGGCGTCTGTCACCACGTCACTGGGGAGTGCTCCTGCCCGCCAGGATGGATGGTAAAAACACTTCTGAAACCCGCACAACCCCCTACAACTTCCATACTTGTAGACTTCAGGCGGCATCAGAGGAGGCTAGCAAATGAGGATAGCAAATGTAGTCTGCTTGTAGCCAGGAGTAATGAGAAACATATTTTAGCATAAGGGACTGGAATAAAATACTTACAAAACCATCTGTTACTGAAAGTTCTCCAGTTCTGCACTGCCTCTAACTATATCAGATTCTAGGAAGCAAAAACATGAACTGTGCTGTGACGAGGCAATATCGACTAGATCTTGCCTGGAAGTCATTAGCTTCTAGATGTAATTTTATGTTATAGTGAGGTGACACTATTTGTACATATTAACGGTGGGGTTTTTGCTTGTTTTCATATGTACAGTATGCATGGCAAAACCTCAAAACCTTTAGATATTGTGCTAAATGCTGGAGAGGAAATGAGACATCAGAACTTTGACATTATCTTTAGACTTTCTACTCTTTTAGCAGAGGGTAGGGAAAGAAGACTTCACCTTGGAGCTGCAAGTAGCTTTCCCCACTATCAGACTGCCAACTCTGAGTTGGCAAATAATGGATTTAGAAGGCAATCAAAGCACAAATAAATTCTTTAAATACATTTGCTGATAATATTGATCATGACTATTTGTTAATAATATTTTCTGTTTAAATGTTCATTTTGTGTGAAAATTCACATGAAATGATCTTTTAATTACCTTGTGATAATTGAGATATTATACTGAGATAACCTGTTTTTGACCAACTAGAGAGCACAGCTATAAAGCAGGATCTCTGATTGTGAGTTTGAGTAGCACTATTCATCTGACTACCTAGCCTGGATTATTGCCATTTTTCATTTTATTCCATTTCATGTTAGAAGAATGAAATTATTGGTCATAGAATACAGATGTTTGCATAAATTCTTGAATCCCTTTATCTGCCTAAACACAGCTACTGAAAAATGAGATAGAACATGAAGCACTGAGGGAAATTTTATACTAGTGTGTGTCTTAACTAATAAATTACTGCTTAGCCCTTTGACTAATTTTCCATTCCAAGTGATTATTTAAGAATAATTTATAATTTTAGAGTTTTCAGTTTTGTGAAACACAATTGTGTCACTATAACCTTTTTTGCTTTTCCTGTAAGGGAGGTTTCAAATAGCCAGGTAGATGAGATACCTGCATGCCTTTTGTCTGATGAAATACCTGCAAATACATTTGAAACAGCTTCTTAAAAGTCTTAAGATTTGAGGTTCACCTCCATACCCGGGTGTAATTAATTCCAACAATTTAAAAAGCAGTGCAAGAATTCAAACCCCATTGAAGGGAGCAATCATCCTACCTAAACTTTTAGGATATGCTGCTTTTAGTGAATACAAACAGCTTTTCCTTTCATCAGAAAAAAGCCCCAACTTATCATCAAGTAGTATAATTGGGGCATTACAACAATTACTGATTCCTACACCATTACACACTGGAGGGCATTCCAGTTATCTTGATATATACTGCTCCTGGTAAATAAACTGGGAAGAGCTTGACATCAATTAGTCTTAAATCTGTAAGTGTTTTCACAGTTGCTTAGAGAGTGTGTTTTTCATGAGCTTTTACTTCCAAAATGGAAATCCTACAAGATTATTCCTCCAGTGTTGGAACATACCTCATGTTTAAAGCTGGAGAGAACTCTGGCATTTCCAAGATCAGCACTGGACAAGTAACACAAGATCTCCTGGATCTTCCTTCATGACAATCCTTTCTTCTTTGTCTGTTCAAGCTGCAATCCCAAATCTAACCTTAAGATTTCTTTTCTGCACACACAGGGCATGGTCTGTGGTCAGCCTTGTCCTGAGGGTCGTTATGGGAAGAACTGTTCTCAGGAGTGCCAGTGCCACAATGGAGGGACCTGTGACTCAGCCACAGGCCAGTGCCACTGCAGCCCAGGTTACACAGGGGAAAGGTAAGGAAAACTCATTTTTGCCAGGCTGCTGAACCTGAAAGAGGCTCTGCTACAACAGGGAGAGTTAAGAACCTGGTAGAAAGAAGAGTGAAAGTATCTGTGATGGGATTAAAAGAGTTGATTTTGGTTATGAAATGTTTGCCACGTCTCTCAGCTGATGCTGGGTTGCAAGTTGAACATTTCTATGTGAAAGAGCCCTTCTGTGAAGGAACTGCTTGTTTTCAGTATTTTCCTGCTATGGCCTGTGCTCTGGCAGTTCCCGTGGGTCTGCACTGGAGTGGGTTGCAGAATGGTGCAGTTTGGGCTGTGGTGAAGGGGTGAGGAGGGAATCTCGTGGTTTTGTGCAGATGTCTGGCAGTCATAGCAAGAAGGGAGGCTCATTCAATTACTCTTCAAAATGAGCAAGCTGGAGAGTTGTCTCCTGAAATATTTAAATCAAATGAAATGAAACATTTATTTTCTGATTATTAAAAATCAGCTTTGGTAGATGGGAAAGAATATATTGAGACATCATTTTTGAAGGCAGTGGAAAGGGATGAAAGAACTGCTTTCTTGCATGTGTTTGAAACAGTACACAACTCAATTTTCTGAAGTCAGCAGCAGCTTGATCACTGGAGTTAGTCCAGAGGATCTATGACAACAATTGTGGGTATTATAACCATATGCATTTCCCACACAAGTGTTCACAGGACATGGTTAGTGCTGTGCTAGACATAAGGGAAAAAACCTCACCTCATGAAGAAGAGAAAGAGTTAGTCCAGAATCATTTGCATGCCAAAATTATATTTGTGTGTGTGAAAATACAGTGCAGAAGGTGGTAAAAGCATTTAAACACAGACAAGGCCACAGGGCAATCAAAGGAATATCCATATGCGTTTCTATTCACTGCACTACCCTGGAGTTTCTAAAAGTAATACATTTTTACTATTGTAATTGTAATCTGATTATCATCTGAAATGCCTTACTGTCTGCAGCATTTTGATCACTTTTGCATATCTGAACTCCCTCTTTTCCTGCCAAACAGGCTGTATTTGCAGTTCTCTTGTTTTCCAAGATACTCCAAGGGCAGGAATGGGTCAGTAGCAAGGTTGTAGACCAGGTTCTTATTTCATGTCAGTGAACTGGCAAGGGAGGGAACTGTTACAAGAAATGTGCGAGCAATGGCTGAGGTAGCACATACATACCAGCAGCGAGAAGATGGTTTTTAAAGTGCTAAGCTATTCTCCACTTCTGTTTGTGACTCCAGCAGTGTTTGTCTGAGATTTTGGTGTGGTGGTGACTCCTGGAAGTTGATTATATATCAAGAAAAAGAGGACTTATAGAGCATGTAACAGTTTCTATGTGATCTGAGTTAAGACAAAGGAATCTAGTTTAAACTACCTTTATAAATCTTCTGCCTAAGACTTTTTGATTGATACCTGTCCTCACCACAAAACGGGAAAAGGGTCTTTCAGAAGCTGATGAAGATGCAGTTAAATAAAAAAAATATATATTGCAAGGTTAAATTTCATCTAATTTGGCTGGGATTCCTGATTGTCATTTGAAAAAAATTCTTTCACAGCTTTATTTGTTGAACTTCATTAGGAAATACTGAAACAGGGTTATTAGCTCTATTATTACACTATACTTGAGAAGAAAAAGAGATTTTATTGCTGACTTCAGTCAGGACAGAGTTACGAATGCCGTGAAAATTCTGGCTATCCGTATCAGACTGAGACGAATACTGCAGAAGCATGAAATAAACATGTATGCCCCTTCTACTTCAGTCAGAGGGCTCTGCTAAGTTCTGTTACATTTTACAGTGCCTTGTATCATGGTCTTTGAAATTCTCATGTAATAAACCACCGATCATATGAAAAACTAAACCAAAAAAAAAAAAGCCAAGTGTATAAGAAAAATAGAAAAAGAACACCAAGGAAATTCTTTTACAAGACTGGGGAAATGAGCAAGTTATAACCTGATAAAACCATTAATACTGTGCTGTATTATCAGGTAATATTTTTGTACAGTCTGTAACTTGACAAAACTTAAAGGTACATAAATTGCAGAAGATGATACCACCTCTTAAGTTCACGGCACATCTAAGGACGTTAATGTCGGCATGTTCTGGCCCTAAAGCTTTGGGATTTAATTGTTTTGTCTTTTTATTTATGTCAGCATAATTCAGACTCTATAGGGTGCTTATACTGAAAAAAGTGGGCATTTTCCTTGACACATAAGCTATGAAATGTCATCCTTGGCTCTGAGGCATGAACCTGTTGAGTTGAGAGGTCTGCTCTCATAAATACAGTGAAATATTTTAAATGCACTGAGTGGTGGAACCTTTAGTAATGCTGTAGTAGTACTGACATTTACAACAATTCAGCTGTAAAATACAGAGAAGATAAACCTGAAAACATCAAACTCATAAGACATCTCTGAATGAAATTGCTATCCAGAAATTGTTACTTAATGAGTTGCAAGTTTCAGAAACAGGGTACTGAACATTTTCTTGTAGTGAGGACTACAAGGCTGGACAGCTAAAGATAAGACTGATCTTTAGGTTAAATAATGTCATTCATATGAAAGACATGAAAGAATTAAGTCTGTTAACTAAATTGTCTATCTTCTTAAATCTCTATGAATGAAAAAGTTCCTTCACACTTCAGGTCTGACTTAAGAGGGTTTGGTTTTGTTCTGGTTCCTGAATGTGGAGTGCAGTGGTCTGTGTATGAATGTTATGTCCTGTGTTGCAGAGAAGGGAGGCCTTTCCCAAAGGAATTTGCAGAGCCAATGTTTTTGAGTCTGTCTAGCTTAGCACCAAAGGCAACCAGAGATGGGCCCTTTTAAATATGAAGTTATATAAAGTATTTGACCCATATAAGAGATTCCTTATAAACCATATTTCCCTTAAACCTCCAAAAGCTGTAGTTCATGGGAAACAAAACAAATTTTTGTTGTTTTTTTTTTTTCCCCTCCCACAGATGCCAAGATGAGTGTCCAGTGGGGACTTACGGAGTGCATTGCGCAGAGACCTGCAAGTGTGTGAATGGCGGGAACTGTTACCATATTAGTGGTGCCTGTCTCTGTGAACCAGGATACACTGGAGAGCACTGTGAAACAAGGCTTTGCCCTGAGGGAATTTATGGTCTCAAGTGTGATAAAAAGTGTCCTTGCCACATGCCCAATACCTGGAGGTAGGCTTTACACCCTTTAGCCTGCTGTCTTTTTCTACATAGAACATAGAAATCCTAATATAATCTGAAAATTAAAATTTCCTGAGTTTTCTAGTACTTTCATGCAAATTGAAGACTAAGCTAAAGACTTGTAATAGTATTTGGTATTCTCTCACCACATCAAAAAAAGAAAATATCAACCCAGAAGAGCTTCTGAATTTTAGTCTTTGCATGTATATTTGATCATAATATTCACGGCATTATTTGGTCTCTGAGCCATAAAATAAATATTAAGACAAAGTGTGACCTTTTTCTATATTTACCACCTCCATGAATGTATAGTGTTCTGAGTTGGGCTTGAGAAGCCTGGGCATTTCCCTCTCTCTCTCTCTCTCTCTCTCTCTCTCTCTCTCTCTCTCTCTCTGTATAAGAATTGCTGTAGGTGACTGTTTTAATACAAAGTTTCAGAGACTTACCAATTGTAAATCTGCATTTCAAAAATTCATTTATTGTCATTTTAGTGACTTTTCTACTAAGCAGGTAAAATCTGTCCTTGGAAATCGAATGAAAATAATTTCCCAATTAACTTACCTTTTGCTATTTCTCCTTATTTGGGCAGTAATGAGTCCTATTTTTTTGTGTTTCTTGTGTCTTTGTGGATTTCATAGTGTTTGAGCATAGTGTTATGAAAATGTAAAAAGCTTGGAGACAAAGTTTCAGCTGTGAGGGAGGAATGTCAGATGTCAGTTGAGGGGACCCAACATATTTATAGAACAATTCTGGACAGCTTTTTCTTGTTACAAAACAGTACTTCTGGTTAAATCCTATGGTCATTGTGCATTTGCTTACACTTCATTGTATTACTATTTAACAGTACCTTAGAGAAGGTTTGTGATCATAATCTAAATTTTTGCTGTTGAAAGTAACTGTGAAAGGAATTTACATAAACTATTGAGTGTCACATAGAATGTTGCTGTACATGGATATAAGATGCATTTTTCCTCACAGATAAAATAAAAAACTTTAGTCAGAAGTTAGCAGAGATGTTAAATCACTCAGGCACATACATGGAAACAGCTACTCAGGCCTCTGTGAAAAATTACTTTGTGGATTGTCAGAGTTGATCAACACACCTTTTGTTGACAAACTATGTGTCAACAAACTGAATTCCTTTCCCTTTCCATTCATATGCTTTTACAGTTTTGTACTTGTGCTCTGTTTTTCCCATTTAGGTGAAATATCTAAAAAAAAAATACAGAGCTGTTTTGATGTAAAATCAAGCAATAATTATTTGGGCAACGTGTTCAAGAATAAATGGCTCCCTAGTGCTGACCCATCTAGCTTTCAAATTATGCCAGTAGACCAAATGCTACTGTATTATGAGTTATGGTTAAGCTGCTTTCCTGAAAATTTGTCTGCAGACTGTTGTGGCAGCCTTGTTTGACAGGAATGCATTGCACTGTATAGCATTTCTAGTGTTACAGGGATTACTTCTGATTCATGTTCAACACAGCTGTTCGTTCATTTATACCACTGGAAGGCAGTTTGTGGTCGAATCAGATCACAAATGTTCACAAGTAAACTGCAGCATATGTCTGGTCTTTTTTTGAAATTTTTCCCCCCTGTGTGGCAAATCCAAAGCCACTTAACAGCCCTGAAGGTGCACAAGAGCATAGTGATGTCTGAGAAAAACAAATATTTTCATTACTTCACAAGTGTATTTTACATATGTAAGTTCCTTCCCCTAGGTCAGGAAGTGACTAAAACCATCAAATAATAGGAATAAAAGGGCACCTAGGTAATGGTATAGAAGCCAGAGCTCCCTGGGGGCACTTGAGGCTTTTCAGATTCTTTTTAGAAGCCAGTTGTATCTGGTTGTCTTCATCTCTCAGTCAGGGAGGAGACAACTCTTTAATCACATCAGGGAATATTCTCAACTCTTTCTTGCCTACCACAAGTACTACTTGGTCTGGCTGCAGCCAAAGGATCTTCATAGCACTAATCCATTTAGCAGCAATGTAGTAACCAGTAATCCCAAGGCACAAAAAAGGGATAGAATTACTCCTGCAAATACCCTTTGTGTGTCTGTAGGTCTATGATTCTGTTCTAAGGGCCTTGAATAAAGGTTTTTTCATCTGGGTCTGATCACTAGTTTAGATATCCTCAAAGAGGAGCTGTTATTAAAGTCTTAGAGCTGTTATTAATATTCATAGATATGGAAATGAATTAAGGATTAATTAAAAAAGTATGCTTAGCTCTAAAAAATATTGCTGTAAAATATGTGGATGTAAGTTCCAGCATGTATGTGTCTAGCCATCTTCTTCATATGCTTGTTCATGTACAGATACAAAAACATTATAGTACATCGTAGTTCAAAATCGTATACATTTTTTATTACTGTTTTATGACTGAAAAAAATTGCATCAAAGCAGCTTTGCCAGTAATTCGTAATTTGCATTTTGGGTTGCCTAGGCTTATAGGGATTTTGCTGCTGCAATTGGTTGGTGGCAGCTCCTGGGTATGGAAGGCAAACCCATCCTTCCTCTTAGTTATATCATCAGCCTTCGTTAAACACTTTGTAAAGCATTAAAAATAGCTATACTTGAGAGATTTTAATCTGATTGAGGGGCCCAGAGGACAGAAACAGATGACCCTCTTGTGCAAGGAGATTTTTCACAAATACTCTTCACTATTGCATGTTTTGAAAGGACTGGAGCCTGTCTGTATGTCAACATTTTCACTTTGTTTTGTACAGGAATGCTCTTCTAGCATAAACCACTTTTAGGCTGGCTTTTGTCATGCCTTCACTCAAGCAAAACCTAAGGATCATTCAGGAAGTGTAAAAAAGGCAGAGTGTAGCAGCATATTTGTCTAGAATGTTTACAAAGGATATTGGTTACACCTGTGATACAGCATTTGCCCTGGTTTTAGATTGATCTCCAAGTAAATTTGAGATATGCCTGTTTTTTTTGTTTTGTGTTTTTTCTTGTAAGCTCTTTCTGGTAATCTCCCACCACTGCTTCACACCTGCAGAGTGGGGTCATTCTGTATCACCAGCTAAACAGGCACAGTTTAGCCTGTAATTAGGATTTATTCATGACATGAGCACTAATGGGGTTTATTGGTCTCATACTTTTCTGACATACATATGTAGAGTTGATTGCATTTTTATAGTGTGATACATGCTTAGTTCATGTAGTTTGGTTGTGTTCTTAAAGTAAAGATTAGGGCATTTCAATTTTGCATTTTTCCAATGGACTTGTATTTACAGGTACAAGAGCTTTTGGAAATTTTATATTGCATAAGGTACTGAAGAATTTGGTGAATATTGTAATAGTGAAACACCTATATAAATGATATGAAAATCACTAAGTTCATTTGAGTCCTTCAAATATATAATATCAACTACCCACAAGTATTTTTTTTGTCTCTGTACAGAGTAGGGTTGCATTTCCAGAAGATGTGAACGAAAGACCAGGAATAAAAGTGGATATACTGGCAACATCTCTTTATTTCCCTATCTTAATATTTAAATCTTATTGCCAATTAAGCTAACTGCACAAGAACCCATCAAAAAGCTTCAGAAGTGGTTCAGTTTCCTACATCTAATTACAAATTAGGGAGTACTAATTTCAGTGTCAATCAATACATGTGCAAGTAGGCCTTGGTAACACTCAGTAGGGGGCTCAGAATATCAATGCCTCTGCTTCATACTCAGTGCTTCCACATGTGTGTGGTCTCTCCATCCCCTGAGAGGAAAATAACCCAACAACAAACACCACTTCCATCTCAGAATATTATATGATTCTGTGAACACTGGGCTTTATGTCTTAAAATGACAATAATGCTAAAGTAATGTTATAAATATAGTCTAATTCATGTCCTGGTGACTATTCAGTTGTGGATTGAAAATTTTTTTCATTTTCCCTGCTCTATATTCTTCCACTGATAAGAAACATGGAAATTGGGGGCCCACAGAAAGTTAGGAATAGGAGATGTTAGATTATCTTGCTACAACTTCTGTGTCTTCAACAGTTCAGCATGTATTTTATATATGAATAGTTCCATTTCAACTTATTTCATGGCAGGTATGCTTATAACTGAACAAATAATCAGGACTGTTGAGTATGAACAGCATGAGTTTTGAACCATTTCTTCATTTGTCATTTATCTGAAAGGACCTTTCGTCTCAATTTAATGTAAAGCAGCTTAATACTGTCAAAGGTATTTTAATATCTCCAGGACCTCCAAGTTTTTATGGTGTCATGGAGTATGAAGTAATATATAGAAAGCAGAATGCATGATGACATTCCAACCTTTATAATTCATGCTTTCCTTGATTAGCGATGTTGTCAGCTGGTTGTTTTCAGCAATATTAAACTCTTATTTTTACAAGAGCAATCCTCAAATCCAAGAGCAATTGCAGCTAATATTGTTATTCTGCAACTTTTTCAAAGACTGTTCTTGCTATGTTGTAGCACTTAAAAGTGCAGTAGGTATGTCTTCAAACTTGCAAATGGTCAGAAAAATACTCAGTTTCAAATGCACTTCCATACACAAGGAGTCAGCAAGTCTTGCAAAATCAGGCTCTTGTCATGGATCATTTAATTTGTCTGGAGGAAGGCACTTCTTTTTTTTTTTTTTTCCAGCATACTTAAAGAAACTTCAATCAGTAGCAGACAAATATCTTGAAACAATCTTCCCATTGTAAATATAATGGATTTGAATAAGGCATTTCCTTTGGTGAGAGTTAAGCAAATGCTTTTTCTGCCAGAGCGCTACAGAGCACCCCATTGTGCCCACTCTTCCAGCATATATATCTTTGCACAGCTGATGATGTCCATTTGTTATGAGGCAACAGCTGCCTGACTGGCCCTTCAATGAAACTGCTGTTCCAGGTAGAGACAGCTGGTCTGCCACCAGGTATGGCCAAGAGAGGGGAGACACTCTCCAAAAGGTCATTGCTCTGATAGTATAGCTGACTTCTGCCCAGTTGTCCTCTTCCAACCTACAGTTTAAAGAAAAGAGCATTCTTGCTGCTCATGGGGTGCTGAGTTACTATTTTGTGTTGGATGTGCTGCTTTTCCGAGTGTCATATTTCTCAGACAATACACTGCTGAGTTTGTGCAGTGTTATGAAAATGATCTTGATAGTGTGGAAACCTAATAAATTGTTTGGAATTTAATGGTTTCATCACCTTAATATTCATAACTGTGGATATCTGCTTTATGGTAAAAACTGTGTTTCAGAGAGGTTTCTTTTCAAATAGATGTAGAAAAAAGATATGTCTTACTTTCTTCCCATGTCCTCCCAATGTCTGTATGTTCCTTCCCATGTCTGTATGTTGTATGATATTTCTTAATTGTCATGCATTTATATATAAATACACAGAACCTTTCCTTGTGATTTGTGAGGTAAACCTCTGTGCAGAGCATGGCAAGATCCTTTATGCAACTTCCCTATAACAGCGTTTTGTCCTCTGGAAAGAAAACAATATTTATGTCACGGTTAGTCCCAAACTATTTAACCTCTCATCTCACCCTGGCAGCTGTCACCCCATGTCTGGGGAATGCTCCTGCAAGCCTGGCTGGTCTGGGCTCTACTGCAATGAGACATGTTCCCCGGGATTCTACGGTGAGTCGTGTCAGCAGATCTGCAGCTGCCAAAATGGTGCTGACTGCGACAGTGTGACTGGGAAATGCACCTGTGCCCCTGGATTTAAGGTAAATGTCTCACTTTCACTCCCCATTTTCAACTCCACTGCCTTTGGTTAAGTGACAAATTCTTCAAGAAGCCAGTGTGTCCTTTCTCCACCACAGTAAAACAGAAGTAAGGATATTTAGGTACTACTGTATGTGTTGTAAGACCTTGAAAAGGCAAAATTTCGGATTGATTTTGAGTACTGAAATGAAGTCATTTTTAGAAAGTGATGTTAGTTGTTTTATAGGATGTTGATAAGAGGGTGTGGTGTTGAGGTGTAAATAAGGAGAGGAATGATAGTTTCAGTCATTATCTTGTAGCACCAATTCCTCATGCTCCATCCACAGAAACTCTGGACAAAAACATTGGTTTTTATAGTTCAGCACAGATTATTCTTCAGCTTTTATGCACATTTGCTGTTACCTGTGCCTTGGATGCTATTCTAACATAGAAAACATTTTACAGTAATAACTGAAACCTTCAGCCAGATTAGTTCTTAAAAACTAATTATTTTCCATTAAACTGCTATCTTACTGTGTTTTGGTTTCATAAAGAAATGAAACTTCTTTATCACTGTCCATTGATCTAACCAAGTAATGTTACCTATAGGACTGAGCTCTCACAACAAATCATAGAAAAATAATGCTTACTTAAAAAGGCTTGAAAAGCATGAAGGGCTCCCTGCCCCTTAAATTCAGGATAACTTGGTGACAGCTTCGGACATGCTTGGGTTGTATGTTTTCTGGCTTTTGTAGCACTTCTATCAGTCTAGATCCTTTATTAGTTGTATGGTCTGAGCCCCCTCAAATAGTTTTTAGACTCTTATTTTTTTAATAATTCAGGGTGCTTCTTGTGGTAGTCCTTGTCTTCCGGGAACATATGGAGTAAACTGTTCATCCATGTGCAACTGCAAAAATGAAGCCATCTGCTCACCAGTAGATGGTTCTTGTGCCTGCAAAGCAGGTAAGTGTCTCCTCAGATTAATCTTCCTTTTCTATAATCATAACATTAAATTGAATTTTTGAAGTAGAGAAGAGGAAACTTGATAAAAAGCAGACCACCCTGAAGGCCTAAGCACTAGATACTTTATGCTTCTGCTGCTCTGGGAGGGAAAACCAAGGAAAACATCTTCTGAGAGAAGCACTGTGGTCTGCTAGAACGACTATGAAGGGGCCATTTATCTGATGTCAGCCTTCCTAACCAAAGTCATATGGAATCATAGAATCATAGAATGACTTGGGTTGGAAGGGACCTGAAAGAGTACATCTCTCGTTCACTTCTGCTGTGAGGAAGAATTTAAAGTCCAGTGTCTCTCAGCTGTGATATTGGATTGCTGAGAAGAGAGGGCAGGCTTTTGAATGCACCGAAGCAAATCCCATGCCCAGTAAACGTTTTAGACCCCTCCTGTCTAAAAATGTTTTTCTAAAAACAGATGAAGTTTGAGAGTGGAGAAGTGTGAGAGTTACCTGGACAAATAGCCACTAAATTTGTCAGGGACTAACACTATTAAATCTGTCGTGCAGCAAATGTAGAGCATCTACTCTTGCCACAGACAGTGGAGCTAATTTAACCCTAATTTAATTTAAAGCAGCTACTGCAAAACAGGTCATGAGGAGAAAAAACATTCCTTTAGAGATGTAATCCTGTTTCTTGTGCATCATGCAGTTTTAGTCACAGTATGGTGAAAAAGGACAGCAAAAGTGAAATTAAACTAAACCTTGATACTTGTCATGTAAACAAAAGAAATTTATAAATCTTGGAAAGACGTTTGAGAGAAAGTGTCTCAGTTTTCTAGCTGGTATAGTGTAACATTTTTTCCTGAAGTGACCCCTAAATTTGAAGTTATCAATGAAGCACAAAGCAGCCTGTTTTCAGTGCATGTGTTTTGCATAGCCTATTGATTAGGCTCAGTGCAGAATAATTTTTCCCTTCACTTACTGTAAACAATACAAAACTAGAAACTTGGCCTGTGTGACTGTAGCTCATAACATATGACTGCCTCACACTGTTTCTCTTGTATCCAATGGATGATCACATTTTAAAAAATCTATTCACATTTCATCTAGTGTGCAGTCTGTGAATTGTTGCTATCAGGCATAATCAATGGTGACTCCTGCATTTTAGACCCTTTTTTCATCACATTTTTTTTTGTATTTGGAGAGAAGTACAGAAATCATCTGAAAGGACTTCTATGTATCTTGGAGAAATCCAATTTATGCAGTTCTTTTATGGTTTGTCTTTATTTAAGATTTCTGTTAAAACCATATCGCAGAACTCTCTGTATTGAACGCTTGTGGCACAATTATGAAAGTGGCAGCTTAAGTCTGCGGGAAATATTCCTAATTATGTTCAGGCTATTCTCAGTGTAGTTTAGTGTTTCTCAGTGAAATTTCAAGGTGTCTTTATCTCTATTCCAGATCTTCCATCAATTGCTTTTGTATGTTGGCACCCATCTGCAAACATATGCTGTGCACAGATGTTACAAGGTGCCCTTGAACACCTTTGTCCAAACCTGGACAAGTCCTGAGCCAAAACTGCTGATACCACCTTGTAGTGAATGTTATCACAGTACTGCCCATCTCAGAGAGATGCCCCATGGCAGGCAGAGGGAAACATTCTGAGAGGAAAGGGGGAAAACCTGAATAATTTGTGACTATAATTCTTTTTTTTTTGGCAGGTTGGCATGGTGTAGATTGCTCAGTAAACTGTCCCAGTGGTACGTGGGGACTTGGCTGTAACTTAACCTGCCAGTGTCTTAATGGAGGGGCTTGCAATGCTCTGGATGGAACTTGTACCTGTGCCCCGGGCTGGAGAGGAGAAAAATGTGAACTCCCTTGCCAGGTAGTTAAATAATATCACCGAATTTTGCCCTGTAGGATAACTTTGGGTAGGGTAGACCTTCTATCATTCTTTAGGGGTATGTCCCTAGGAAGCACATATGACTGCGTGCGGGATCAGGGACATGCACCAACAATTCTTCTGGAAGAGCCATGCTGCACAATACACCAAAGAACACAAAAAAATGGCCACACAAAATGAAGTTGCATTGATGAACACCTTTTCTGCTTTCAACACTTTAAAATCAGAACCCAAACTTTTCACTAACTCCTTTGGAATTGGTTGAAAAATTTTTCCCTCTATCAGCATCAAATGCTATCAAATTGCTTCTGTTCAACTAGTTTAAGTAAAAATTACAAGACAAAAGAAAAAAAATATATTCCACGTCAAATAACATATTTCTAATTACATTTTCTTATGTCTATGTTACAGTATGAATAAAGAACTTTGATTGCCTCTCAGTCAGACATGAGAATCTACTTTTACTACCCAGTTCCATGACTGGTGCCTTTCTACTGGGGCTCTCGTTTCTACTCTCTCCCAGACTCTGAGATATTAGAAATATCTGCAATATTAGAAATCATTGTGAGAACAAAGGCAAACTCCTTATCACTTCTGTTCCACTTCGTAGTTTGGGGAAGCCATGAAAATGTATAATTTCAAAAAATTTTAAATAGTAAAAATCAAAATGCATTGGTTTTACTGTATAACTGTTTGATTTCAATTACATTTCATGCACTCAAAAAAAAAAAAAAATTATGAAAAAGGAGGTTTTCCCGAGTCAATTCTTTTTAATGATGGACTTCAGTTTTCCAGAAAATTTTTAACAAAATTAATTTTTAAAATAAACTTCTCTCTGCTCTCCTTTTCTCCTCCCTTGTCATTTGCTCACTTTTGCAGTACTATCTGCACAGCAGGTTGTTGGTTTAGTACAATTGTAAAGGAGCCACATGAACTGAACACACACCTTGTTAATTCCCTCTCATATCACATTGAAGCTTCTTTCAGTTTGGACGAGCTCTGCTGAGCAATAACATGATGGGAATAGCTGAAATAGAGTGTAAGATGGAAACCACACCTCTGTCTTGAATGAAAATTTGTGCCCTCAGAAGTGATTTTTGGGGCTTTGCTTTTGGTTTTAAGATGAAGCATAGCACACACTGATGCAGTGAGTAAAGTGGAAAACAAAATTGAATATATTCTGGAAAACTCATTAGAATACCACCTGTGCACATTCACGCAGTGTTTCCAACAATGCATCTCCATCAAAAGACTTAATTTTTCCCTTTTCTAAAACAGCTTTGTTTATCACTTCGTGTCTGATTCTGAAGGATGATATCTCCCAAGCTGCATTAGCTCTTCTAAAACTGACATTTAAAAAAGACAGATTGTTTCATAGCAGTCGCATTACTATGCCAAAGTTAGTCAAATAATGCTTAAAAGCATTTCTATATCAGATAATTTAGCATGCCCCTCTATCTGTGTCAAACAATGTCCATAAGCATTTACACATTTCAAGTGCATATTCTGCTTCAAAATTCCAAAACAGGAGAATAAAGAGAAAACTAATTCAAATAAATCCACTGTTGTCTGAAATGTTTTTCTTATCGGAGCAGAGACATTATTTAAATCAATGAATTTAAATTTGTTTAAATAACTTCAGAAAATTAATTTTACTCCCCAGATAGTTACTCAAGATATCACTGAAGTTTGGACTTCAGTCCAAGTACATAGCAGGCTAAATATACTGCTTTTCAACAACATATTTGAGGATTTCCTTTCGTTCCAAATCTGATTATATGCAAAGGAAATGTGTAATCTTTTCTTTTTCTGTATATAAAAATGTACTGTTGAGATGAGCAAAAGGCTCCTTACGCTGAAGTAACATAAGATTTTGTTCAACTTTAGACTTGAAAGACTGGGAATTGAACAGCTGAATCCTGTAGTACTTAGTTGAAACATATGTATGAACATCAAAGAACAGCAGAGGAATTTTGTTATAGATTTTATTCAGATTTTAATGTGGCTGAAACCAACTTTTAGCCTTGAATTTAAATGATTCATTTTTAAACCTGACATGTTTCTTTTCCTTTTTTGCCTTTGCTATGGGTAACCCTGAAGCATCACCATAAATTATACTGGCTTTTTTCCATGTTTTTTTAATTTGGTTTTGACACTTTTTCTTCAAGATCAATTTACTGTTGTACTTTGACTTTGTTTTGAGAATGCAGTATTAAAGATTCTGCTCCTCAGTTTCTCAGATCGATTTTGTATTAAATTACCCACAAATGCGTGTGCCAGCTTCTACAGAAGAAGCAGAAAAGGCAAATTCAAATGTTTAGATGTAGTCCCTTGAAAATCAGCTGTGCTTTTGACACAGCAGAATGCACCAAAAGGGGTGTTCAGCTTGTAACTTTAATCTCTCTTATTGGTTCAAAAAATGCCCCACAACCAGAGTATCTCTTTTTAGTGTAGTATATCTTGTAGTGCAGAAAGATTTTTAATCAAAAGAAAGTGATACAGTTTGCATTATTTATGCAATGAACCTTACACTAAATATATATTGTAATATAAGGTTTTACTACTCTTTATTAAAATAATTGTGCCTTTATCTGGTATCCTTTTTGACCAATAGGTAGAGAGCTCAGGGTCTGAGGCAGAAAGGAGACTGAATTGCTTTAGTCTGGGATTTTTGAAGAGAGTATCATTCATTCTTTATCTTCCCCTCTTAAATGAAAGAACAAAAATGTAGGATGCTAAAATGTTCCAAAAAGCCAGAAGCATTTTATATTTACGGATTCAGGAGAGATCTGTTGTTGCTTTTCGAGGCAGGACTGACCAGAAATTTCTGGGTTGTTCTTTTTCTGTTGTCACAGGACGGCACATATGGCATAGATTGTGCTGAGCGCTGCGACTGCAGCCACGCAGATGGGTGTCACCCCACCACCGGGTACTGTCGCTGCCTCCCGGGATGGTCAGGTACAAAACACACCCCTGAGGACAAGGAGAGTTTCCACTCTGGTGGAACTTGGTCTTCTCTGTGGGTTTGGGGGTAAAGGAGGAGTATGTGGGATTGGGAGGGAAAAAGGGACAGTTCTGTGTCTGCTGTGTCCCTCCTGTGATTCACACATGTGGAAATTTTGTTGGGTGTGGGATCCACAGAAAACTGAGAATAGAAAGGGAAATCTTAAAACTTGGGCGCCTCCACAGTGTGATTCGTTATGAAAGTGGCAAATAACTGTAAATATTCCAGGTTGTGCTTTGAGCTTTGGGGTAAAGCATCACATCCAGCTTTCAGTCAGCCAAAAAGAGGATAAATACTGCAGAAACCATGTTGCCATTTCAGTTCCTGAAACTTTGAAAACATGAAGTTTTCTCCGCACATATTTTGTTCTGTATGAATATTTTCTCATTAAGTTTTTTAGCATTGTGGTTTTAAGAACCATCTATATCTAGTTATTCCCTGTAATTTATATTTGAAACGGTTGTTGCACTCTCTTGTTTGTGGAAAGCAAGATTTTTTGAAAACATGATGAGACTGTGGAGGAGGGCATGTATCATGAAATGTTTGCTTTATCCCTAGGAGGTAGTTTTAGTTCTCAAATGGATTTCTAAGCTCTAAGGTTGGGAAAACTCTGTGATCTTCAGTAGGGCTTAATTGACACTATAAACTTGCCCTTGTTGAAATGTTCTAGACTTGGTGTCTCACTATGATGCTGTGGTGTTGCAGGGGTCAGGTTTCATGTCCCCTGTTTGTATGTCCTCTTTCCATTTTATAATGAGGAGTCAGCATGAAAAACACACCTTAAATGAACAAAGTATGTGAGTGCTGTGAAAAGAGAGGATTTTTATTTATTTATTTGTGTTTTCAGATATATACTAATATTATTTAGTGTCCACTGTTTTAATATTTTTCCTAACTGACTTGCAGGTTCATCATATAATTGTTTTCTTTTTTCTCTGGTGCTTTCAGACAAAGTAGGTGGAGGTGAGCTTATGATTTCCTCAGATAGATACAGTCTTAGTTACTGGGTTTTTTTCCAAACTTTGCTTTTTATACTCTTTTTTTCCTAGCTCTGTAGATGGATCCCAAGCATCTTGTTTGAAGTGCATGTCTACAGTTCAGGTTGATTAGTTGTAGCTGATTACAGCTCACCTGCCGTTTTTTCTACTTTCTGTTCAGATGAACGTGACTTTTGTGATTACTGGAGGTGGGAAGTGGAAATCAGTAGGGGATATAGGCATGGGCAGGAAGGGTTCCTGCTTTGCTTTGGAAGACCAAACCCATCTATCATTTGTGCATTTTTTTCTGTATATTGGTTCTTTGAGAAGGTCTCTCTCACCATTGTGTCTCACCTTTTCAACAAGAGAGACTTTCAGAGCCAGCACTCACCTCACTAAGACAAGACTTTGTTGGTTTTATTTTCTTCCCACAAGCTCCAGTGTGACTTAACATCAGCTACTCAGACATCTCAGGGAAATAACTACCACAGGAGTGCAAAAAATAGTACAAGTTAACTGAGTGAATTATGAAAAAATACTGTTAGCCTTATGCCATCTGTTGCTATTTTGTGTGACACTACATTGTGTTTATTTTGTTGTGATGGTAATGTCCTTACTTTCATGTAGTTTCAGGTAATTGTGTGTGCGTTTGGACACATTTCTGCAAACTTACATTTGAATCTGCTCAAAATATGATTTCATAAATTAGTAAAGGTATTAAAGAATACCCACAGTAAAAACATTTTGATGATCTTGATCATGGTTTAGGCTGTTAAAGCTGTTCATGAGTTGCAGATGTGCAGCTTAAAGTAAATCCTGTGAGTTTTTAAAATGGAGAGAAATCATCAGAGACAATAGGTATGTAATGAAAGGATCCAGGTTGTTTTAAAAGGCCATGCCAGAAAAGTAGCCATGTTTTACAACAGGTGATAAAAATTACTTAGCCAGCGTGATTTAACTAACCCAGGAGTATTTTTACCTTTAGTGAAATCTTATTTCATCTTCATGTTTACAAAGGAAAAAGACTTCACTAGAAAGAGACTTCAAGCACAATTATTGATAAAAATTGAGTCTCCATCCCTGGATGATGTCATCAGAACACCATGCGTGACAGACTAGTTTTGACATGTTGATGATGTCTAGACATACTTTATAACATAAATGGCATATTTCGCTTTATACTCAGTGTCTGGAAAAATCCTCCTCCCACACTTCACGTGTCAGAGCAATACACACAAGGAGTCTGGTCTTTGTGTAGATACTTGGAATGAATAAAGAAAAGGAGAGAATGTTTTAGGAAGGGGTTCTCAAATAGCTGTACTGTAATGTTGCATTGCAGAAATAGCAGTAGATCGTAGGATTAATAAGGGAGGTTGTACATATATTTCTATGCATAATAGGTGGAGAAGCAGATGGAGGATGTGTGGAAAATACAGGAAGTTTCTAAAATGCAAAAATTATGTTAGAGTAGCTTAGATTTTTTCCTAAGCATCAGACATACTAATTTTGGATGGGTAGTATTCCCTACAAAAAAACCCAAACCAAACCAAGCAAACAAAAGAGAGGGAGAACCAGATTTTGGGTAGCTGTAATGCTTATCTAACCCAAATGAAGGATTTAGTCTTTTAAAAACCATTGGGAAGGTAGTATTTAAAAAATGAATACATTTGAAGAAGCTTAAAAATGTGAACTTGTATTTTTTTCTTTTTAAGCATGAATAAATCAATGAATCCAAGGCGAACTTTCCCAGATGTTATGATGCCATCAAAATAATAAAACTTTCCAAAAAGACGTTTTAAATACAGTATTTTTCTCAGCTCTGTGAATGGAACAGTTGTCTACACTTTCCTCAGGGAATTTCATCAGAGGGAATAGTTTATATAACTTTGTAGAACTAAATGAAGGGAGGTTTTTCCCTTGCTGGATGACACAGTTGTCCCATAACACTGGGGAACAGGAGTTGTGGTGCATGAGGAGGGTGGATCACTGGCCTGGTGTTGTGAGGGCCTCCCTTGGGCTGTAAGGGAGCTCTGAGCTGCTGATGTGGGCACAGGGGCTTTACTTCAGGCTCCAGATACAGCTGCAACTCACCACTGGTACAATAAAAAGATATTACATGGTTTAGTTTTTTAAGTAGTTTTTTTTTTATTTATTTATTTTGAACATGCCCATTGATTTTCTTTTGCTTCTTAGGTTCTACTGAGGAACAAAAGTTAAGTTTTTGACTATTGCATTGATATCAGCTGTTAAAAACTCAATAACTAATTAAAATTGGCTTTAATTAGCTCTTTGTTTTTATTTAGGGTTTATAGTTTTAATGTAGGTTCTGTTGCCTAGGAGGATACTTAGGTTTTTCATCCTAAACAAAAATGACTTATTTTCTAGGGCTACTGTAATAAATCTTCTTCTCTCTGTAGTTTGCATTAAGTTTTCCCTGCACAGCAGCTTTAATTCTGCTTAGAAAAGCAAGAGTTAAGGGTGATTTCTTTTTCCTGGCAGTCTGACCATTCCATCACGTTCCAGGAGCCACATGACAGGATGGCACAAATGAGAAACATCCACCCACACAGAGGAGGATGTCTGACCCAAACGCTCTCATCCCTTGACATTTTCACTGTATGTTATAAATAACTTTTTTTTCATTTGGAGGGAGTGCAATAGTGAGACAGTGGAAAGGAGTAAGAACCATTAAAACAGAAAGCAGAAGAAACAGATAGAAAATATAATCCCTCAATATATAATGATAATTTTCCTAATAATTTATACAAAAATTTGAAGTTAAAGTCCACTAAAAAGCTACATCTACCACTTCTCTCAAGGAGAAAGCAAACCAACAGGCACCATGGTAACTTAAGTTTCATTTCTTAATCTTACCTGTTCTGCAAGCAGCTCTCAAAACACATTTTTCCCAAATTGCCTGAAAGGTTTAAGAATTTGTATTCTTGCAAACTGACAGTTCACATTAAAGCACTAGTTAATTAAAATTAATTAAAGATAATTAAATTAATTAAAATGGCAAAAGGACTTTTTGTCTCCAGACTGTTTACTACTGCAATTACAATTACAATAATGTGGGTGTTACTGATGACACATCACTGTTGTGCTTTCTTGGGTGCAATTCTGCCACACCTTCCCACTTGAGAAGAAATGTCATGTCATAGTGGTACATTTGTTATTTTTAAAATCGATTTAAAGGTTATCTGATGCCAGGGATTGTGAAATACCATTAGTCTATTATCTGTACCAAAACAATAGCATTGGTTTATGGAAAAGACAGATGCAGTAATACCAGCCTACATTTTACCATTCATCCACATGCAGATGGGGTGTTGGTGACTTTTTCTGTGCTGGACACCTGCTGACGTTAGTCAGAGTGCCTATCACCAGATGTGCTGTTTCTGTGTCCTTCCATGTGCTTCTGACATTATTTCTAAGAGGCACATTTGTTGTGGGATTATAACAGGGAGGTCTCTGTCATCTGACACTGATGCAAATCACCAGGTCTGCTGAGAAGTGCAAGCTACAGCTCTCCCTTGCCCCTCAGCTTTCAAAGTGTTTGCACTTTTTCCCCTCCTAAAAAGAAGAAAAAAGGCATAAAGAGTTCTATCATGGGTCTTCCTCACCTTTAGGCCAAAAAACACGGTGCTGCTGGAACGACATCCGTAGTGCTGGTACCCCAGTGCTGAGGTCCTCTTGCAAGAATGTGGTTTTTCCTCCACTTTGACTACCTGCCCCTGGCCTCCAGAAGCACAAGGTACCATTGGGATGGATGCTCAGTGTGCCACAAAATGAAATCATACGTGGGCACTGTGTCATGATAAATGGCATATTTACTTTCCAAACTTCAGGAGAGGAATTCTCCAATAAGAAGTTTGGCCCACCCTACATTTGGACTTCACTGTGTCTGCACCTCTGTTGTCTGTGTGTTGTGGTGGATCTTTATGTGGAAGAAATACTCTTTCAGAAAAAAGAGCTTTAAATTGGTGATTAAGTATGTTTGTTTTCTAACTATGAAGTAGTTAAAAAAAAGGGCAAGTATTATTTCCTTGTATCTACCTAAAGATTTGTAGTTGAAAAGAAGAGCACCTCTGGAGTGGATAACAGCAAGAGTATGCCCTTCAGAAAGATACTAGGAATACCTCAAAAGTTATTCATCCACTAAAATTTGCAGATACTGATATTTGCCTTCAAACTCAGATGTTTTTGTTGACAATCTTTTGTAGCTGGCTTCCTACCAAAACTCGCAGGCAGAATCTCTCCGGCTGCCACAGTGAAGCAGCAGCTGACGACCAAACTTCTAGAAAAAATCCTTTCATTCGCTCCTTAATTTGGGACACTTTATTTATTCCTCTGGCTATTCTCAGCTAGGGAGTGAGATACCTCTCTTCTTCAAAGACAATTAGGGTACTTCTAAATAGTGCTTGTGATGTTTTTCACCAGTCCCTTTCCTTGGGCTACTCATCCATCATTTGACAGAGAAGTAGGGAAGTCCTTGAACAGAAGTGATCTAAGTGTTCATTCCTCTCAAATATGAGCTCTTTGGCCATAATTGAAAAGTGTCATTAGCTTTAATGACACCAAGAGTTCCCCAGCCTTTGAAGGCCTGTTCCTTTTCTTGTTTAGGCTGTTATATATCTAATTTCACCCTGACATATGGGAAATACACCAATATACAAACAGGCTTTAATTCTTCGGAGCTATACTGGAAAGTTCCACGTGTTGTGAAGATAAATTGTATGGCAAAAACATTTTCTTTATGAAAAAAAATTCTTTTTAAAGCTTGGATAACCTTTTATCAGACTAATAGAAACCTAACAAGCTGGAAAACAGCATTTAGTCCAATAATAAATTTGCCTGGGAAGATAGTAAGAAATAATTGGTAGATTTTTTTCCCCCTTCAGGTGATCAAACAAATTAGCTCTTTGTTGATCTGACTTGCAAGAATCATTGAGTCTCAACTTCAAAATACAGCATAGGGAGTATGGAAATACTCTGCTAGCATGGGCAGAAACACTCGTATCCCTAAAGAATTCTTTACTTCATTCATGCAACTACGAATGTTTGGGGAATGCTGATTTAGATGTGAGGCCCCCAGCATAAAGCACTGGGCATTAAATGCACGAGCGTTTCTTTAGAGCAGCTTAGCTGAAGTTTATCATGACCATTCAGCCATTGCCTAGCAACTTGTGAAGGCCATCAAAGAGCTCTTTGTCCATAGCTCTGGCAAAAACATTTTCTCGCAGTTATCCTTATCAGTATCAAAACCAACATGAAAACTTAATGAAAAACAATTTTATCACATAAAAGATTAATACTTGCTTGAAATTGTGGCAATCATAAGCCAGTTGATACCATGTTGTAAAAGATGTGTTTACTGTTGCTTTGTAAGTTCCAGTAAAAATGCTTCTTTTTCCTCAATAATTTCCAGCTTTTCTATAAAAGCATAGATTTCTTTGCTGAAATTTCGTATAAAGCATCACTCTGGAAATTAATTTTTTTAAAGTTTTTTTTATCCTTTTAATATTTCTAACCTGTTCTTTCTCAAAAATGGACATACTTGATTTTTACAGCTATTAAGATGTGAAACTCAATTTCTTATTTTTAAGTGCCTTGTGAACTTCATAACAGTGAGATTTAAAACTATTTTTATAAGTAGATATGCAGTAAATCATTGAATGATCTCTGCTTTGCTGCACTCATTCTTGACACTCACAGGAGGGCAACCGATTTTGCTTCTGATCAATAATGAATATAATACAATTCTTACAGTGAAACAGCAGTAATCAGCATACTTTCAGTATCTTATATTGTCATAATTATTATTCTGTGATATTTAATATACACTTTTTATTAGCTAAGTAGAAGGATATCATTCTTCACCTCATAAGAAGTGGAAATGGGAAAGAAAATGTAGTCTTTTTTTCAGTTTCTCTAATGGATAATTTTCCCTGGTGTGTACTGAAGGAGCTTTTTCCTTTTTTCATTTTCAGTAGTAGTTGCTGGCTCTTTCAAGTATCGTGGCTCTCTGCAGCATGGGACCCATTGTCTTTTCTGTTCCAGTGTGCCCACTATCACCCTTTGACACCACACTGTCATAAAGCATCCTCTGTGCACAGATCAAGGCAGCCTAATTGAGCCTGGTATTATTGTATGTCACTGGTCTACATAATCTCAGATAATGCAGTGTGGTAACTCTTGGCAACCACTGGCTTGTTAATAGTGACCATTATATACTGAACAGCAGTGAAACCCCTTAAGACTGTGAAAAATGTCTTTTCTTTAGCAGGGTTCACTGAGTGAAGCTGTGTATGATATGATACATAACACTCACGTGGACAGAGTGCCAGGCTCAGTTGTGAAATGCTCTGCATGTGTCTGCTTATGCTTTCACAGACTTGGAGACCCGAATTCTCAAATTTGGGAACCCCAAGCAAAGCAATTTTATGCAGCTGAAAGAAGTGGTTCTTGTTTCAAAAAAAAAAAAAAAAAAAAGCTGTGATGTCATTCTGCTCATGTGCACCAGCATCTCTCAAAATCCAAAATCAAGCCACTCTCTTATGTCCATTTATCCACAAATGGGAAGTTAATGAAAAAGTTGACCCAGACTACTGAGAAGCAAGTCCACACTGCCTCTCAAATGTAGATGGAGACAGGAGAATGCCTGTGCATGGAAAAATGAAAGAGGAGTGATACAAGCAGTCTTTCATTTTTTGACAATAGATTTGTTTTAGGTCAGTAGTAACTCATTGCACAGTCAGGGCTTTTAGGTGGCCTATGTACTGACTGCTGCTGGTCAATGTCTGGATTTTAAAAGTCAAATGTTTTCTCTCTTGCTGGCATTAGTGAGCCACATATTTGATTCTTCATTCTGTCCATTGTCTTGCAGAGAAACAGTTCTAGAATCTGGAGTTCCAGCCTTCCTCTAATTAGAGGTTACATACAACTTTGCAAGGCAGATGCTGGGGGTGTTAAGGAATCACCTCTGAGTCTGATCTATCAGTAAACCATGTAATTATTTTTCAGGATCGTTACAAATGAGATTTTGTAGGTTTTGCTGTTCAAAGATTTTTTTTCTTGTCACATGTAAACTGGTTTGGGGTTTTTTTAGGACTTGGGAAGGCATTGAATCTGTGGCATATTTTGCTGGAAATACTTACAAAGCAAGACATCGTTGTGGTTGGACTCAGTCCACTTTTCCTTTAGCTGAGGGTTCATTCAGTAGAGGCATTACAGTAATACTTAATTGTTAATGAAAAGTGCTGTAGACACAATACAGTCTGAGTTCCACAGTGGTGCTTGCTGGCATTTAACATGCAGAGTGCTTTTTAAAAAGCCGGAAAATTATATTTAATGTTGCTGCATTGCAAAAAAAGCCACAAATGAAAAACCAAACAATACAAAAAAAATCTAACAGTAAAGGGACCGTAATTGGGTGATTATAATGAGTGGTTTGTATTATGATTTAAATGTAGGGATTCCGGTTGTGGCCATTTTACAATCAATTTTATATCAAAAGCAGCTAAACAAAGCACTGACTGAGTAGCATCTGTAACACTGTTGCAGCTAAGCATTTTGGAATGCTCATGTGGTGTATTTGGAAACCCTTTGTGTGCGCTACATTTTTCCATGCGGTATGAAGCTGAGCAGTAATCAGCTCACCACTAATTAGAAATCATTCAGTGTCCTGTACACCATTATTATACAAAATTATGTCAGACCCAAAGAATTCTTATGCTCAGAAGGAAGAGTTTCTATATACCTTTTGTCATGCGTTTCCCAAAGATAAAATTTGAAAATAAGGTTTTGCTGTTTTGAAACGGCCATTATGGAGGAATCAAAAGCCATTATGTACATCTCATAAAAACTAGAATATGAAATTCACTGTTCTGGGGGAAGACAGGAACAGGGATGCACATTTACTGTGTTCTGTTTTCCTGATGTTAGTGGTATTTTCAAAAACAGGTTATGTGAGCTGTGTTTTGAAAATCAGTCCACTGAGGACCACAGGTTTAACCTTACTATGCATGAGAGTTCTTCACAAATGTTTTATTTATGTTTTCAGGCATTCACTGTGACAGTGTGTGTGCTGAGGGACAGTGGGGTCCAAATTGCTCCCTGCCTTGTTACTGCAAAAATGGAGCATCTTGCTCTCCAGATGATGGAATCTGTGAGTGTGCACCAGGATACAGAGGCACCACTTGTCAGAGAAGTAAGAACAAAATGAATGTTTTAAAATCTCTGTTTCTCCTTCTCTTACTTGGAATACATATCATATAACACAACAATGCTTTGTTAATTGTAGTATGAAGTACTATGAAATGCTCCCTGATGGGGCATTTTCTCAAAATATATGAATATGCAGAAAAAAAGTGTTATCTTAAATGAACAAAGCAGTAGTGCTCTTCTTGTTATGGTACAACTTTACTTTTATTCACTATCTGTGCTGTGGCATTGTTATGAATATGACTTTCTAAGAAATTTAGTAGGGGACTGCATTCTAAGGGTAAACATTCCCAAATGTACTGTAATGTGTATTTTGTTAGGTAAATAAAACATACATGAGTTTCAGAAACTTAAAAACCTCTCCATTGAGTTTGGTAGGAATTATTGGCTTAGTTATTGCTTTTTTTTTTAAACACTTACTTTGTAAGAATCAGCAGTGGCATCAGGCCTCAGAGTGAGAACAGGATATCAAATGTACCCATGGTTCCTTTTGAAAAAATTAAAATTAAAATTACAAGAATAGAGATACAGATTAAACTAAGGAAAATCGTGCTAGAATCAAGGAGGTAAATAATAAGTCTACCCTCCCAACAAGATTTGTCACAGTTTTCCAGCAGTCCAGCTGCCTTTAGTTTGAATCATCGAAGCTGTGAGGGAAGGGTGTTCAGGGAAGAGAAATGTGTGTCTCCTGGAATTGGGGGTAGCCTCATTTTCAGAGTAGGTCTCCCAGAAACAGAGTCAAGAAGTAGGTGGAGAGAGGCCAAGCAGAGATGCTCCTGGGTCTTCCAAAAGAGGCTGAAAAGGCAGGAGACAACATGAAATGGTCACTGATATGTTAGAAGGAGAATCGGAGGAGGGTCAAGTCCTAACAGTCCAGGAATGGCAAAATCTCAAGCTGAAGGATGTGATTGCCTATGGCACTACTAAACCCCACATTAGGGTGGCATTAGTATTCCTTGAGCACTTCTAACTATGCACAGTAATTATTCTCACTATCTAATCTCTAAAGGCCCTGCAGTTAATCAGTTAATCCAAAAGCAGACTCAGTGTAACACTACATGTAAAAATGTTCCCTTGTGTTTTGGAACTGTGATTATGATCTGGACGAGAAGCTTCCAGTCTAGTGCCTCTCAGAGCCCCTCTCTGATGCACGGTCTGGAGGCTGGGAAGACAAAGGTCATACGAATAATTTGGATCCTAGTCAGAAAGTGCCTTTTCAGTAAACAGGAAGACCTTTTGGCATTGTTTCACTTGGAAAAGTTAACCTCTGTAGAGAGATCTGGCCATATAATTTGTATCGTGTATAATTAAAACACTGAAACTTGGATGAAGTTAAAATATTGAAAAGATTCCAAGTTCCTTTTGTCAGTGCTAATTGCAGCTGTGCAGGTATTTCTCTTGATGTATTACCTAATACTTTACATTTATCAGGAAATGAATGCCAAAAGGGATTAGAGCTACAAAGAAGGAGATTTTATGTAACAGCCCATTTTTCCCCCCTGTTTTTGTTTGGGGTGGGTTTTTTTTGGGGTTGGGTTTTTTGGTGGTTTATTGGTTGGTTGGTTAATTTTTTTGTTGTTTTGTTTTTTAAGAAACTCGTGCTTTTAGTATTAGAAATAACTGGTAGACTTTGTATTTCTGGTCTCAGGTTCTCTAAAAGTTAGGTGACTCTGTACCATGTAATGAGTACAGTGAATATCTGAAAGAAAGGTTGACTGGAAAACATTTGTATTTTTTACCAGTGAAGTAATGGGTAAGTTAGTTTCCATGTTAGGAAGCACATAAGAAGTCAAGATCTAAGATGACCTTACTCATCTAGAGAAAAACTATTCTCTGTTATTTTAAATTACTTGTCTTCAAATATGCTTTAAAACACATCCATGATTGGCCAAATATGTATAATAATAAAGTATATATACATTTCAAACATTATCCAATCACAGTGTGGCCTGACATGTAACAGAATGTTGACTAAGTCATTATTAACCAGAATTATTAACCTTGAGGAAAACGAGCAAATCTCCTTTTGTGATAGTAAATGTCATGGTTTGAGAGCTCCAAAAGATCTAATTCCCTAGTCCAAGCCCCCTCCAACATCTCAACTCAGTGAGAGATGGTTTCCAGACACTACACAAGATTCAAAATGGAGGAAAGGGAATATATTACAATGACTGTACAAATAAATACTACAATACATTGTACACAACCTTAGCTATCTCTACCATGACATAAAAGTATTTACAATGGATCAAATCTCTTCTCCCCTCCAAATAAAAGTCCAGGAGGGAAGAAGGAAAAGATCTCTTTCCACTCTCAGAGCAGCAGTTTCTCTAGGGCAGCAGTCTCTCTGTTTCGCTCTTCCATGCAGCAGCTGTAGCTGGATCTCTGCCAGTACTCACGAGGGGGTATTCAAGCCCCTCGGCCACTCGTCTTCAAGCGAGGGTCTTCTTCCGTGGGCTGCATTTCCCAGGACAAGGGCACTATCACCACATCATATCACGAAGCTCAGGGGTCTTCGTGACGGTCTGTATCTTCAGGGGATTCAAGTTCCCCTACAGAGCTCTGTGCTCTGTCTCAGGCAGCGGGGGGACCAAGGTCACTCCCTCCGCATTCCTTCTGAGCTTTACAGCTCTTTTCTGCAGTGCTGCTGCAGTTTTAGGACTTCCATTCAGTAGGAGTCCATCCTTTCCACTTCGGAAAGGTCACAAAAGGAGTTTGGGGGTTTTTTGGTTTACTTCTTACCCCAAAAACTCTGCCTGTAGAGCTAGTCTGCTCTCTCTGCTGCTGGCTCTCTCTCTCGGCTCTCTTCAGACAACTCTGTGTCTTCTTTGGCTGGCTGCAAGCTGCCTCTGCCGCTTTCTTATCTCTTCTGGCTCTCTGCCACCGTTTCTTTGGTCCGTGCAGTTCTGCCGCTGCTGATGCTGCTCTGACTCTGCTCACTCAAAGAAAACTTCTTTAGCTTTCTAGCTACAGATACTTGGTCCAGTTTAACACTATTCTAAGTCTCTGTAGCCCCCCTGCTGGGGGCTGGGGCGGGGGGGGCGGGCCCAGAGGCCCCAAGGGGCTCCAAGCCCTTTCCTCGTGGCCTCAGAGCACGGCCACCTCTCTCAACAACTTCAACAACTACCTTCTCTTCCATTCTGCTTGTGATATGTTTATATTTTGCAGAAGCGCTCATTGGGTAAAACCTCAAAACTTTGTTCTCTCTGGTTCCAGTTTGCTCCCCTGGGTTTTATGGACACCGCTGCAGCCAGACTTGCCCCCAGTGTGTGCATAGCAGTGGTCCCTGCCACCACATCACTGGCTTGTGTGACTGCCTGCCTGGATTTACAGGAGCCCTCTGTAATGAAGGTACAACATGTAATAAAGACATTTCATAAAGTGTGAAACCCACTGTACTCTTAATTCTATTACTTGTATAGTAAGTATGGATATTGTGCTTACCAGAATTTATAATGCCTTACTTTAATGTTATACTAAGTGATATTTCTTGATCCAAATATTAGTTGCTTTCTCTTGAAATAAAGAAAATAAAATCTTGTTCTGATTGCTAAGGAGTTTTAATTCTGACAATGTCTTCTCAGTATGTCCCAGTGGCAGATTTGGCAAGAACTGCATTGGAATATGCACCTGCACCAATAATGGAACTTGTAATCCTATTGACAGATCCTGCCAGTGTTACCCTGGCTGGATTGGTAGTGACTGCTCTCAGCGTAAGTATCAGTTTTTTCCCTTTAATTTTAGAACAAATAACCAGGGTCTGGCTAAAGTATCAACATTTTGGTGAAACAACACTGTCTAAGTCAGAAATTAGGACTTCACAGTAAATAATGAATATATGGCTAAACTTTTCTTCATTTTATCAACACTGTCATGGTGCACTATGATCCTTTCAATGAGTGGGCTGGAGTGCAGGATAGGAGGGATCAATTTTCAACCTTCCACTGCCCAAAGGAGAGTTGTGGAGAAGCTGGATCAGGCTCATTTGCAGAAGTGCACAGTGAAGAGACAAGAGGCAATACTCACAGGTTGCAGCAAGGGTAACTTTTATTAGATAAAAGAATAAAAATCCTTACTGTGAGAGTTGTCAGACACAGCAACTGTCCAGAGACGCTCTGAAGTCTCCGGCCTGGAAGAGGCTGTGAAATTATCATAATTGAAGAACCTTTGAATAGGATGTTGGACTAGGAGACTATACAGGTCTCTTCAAACATGTCTGTGGATTGATAAATCTTTACATTAGAGAGTTCTTGGTCTGTTGTTTCTTTATATGTAATTATTTACTCTTTTCACAGTAGTGTTGTGAACATCTCAGGGTTTGTATCTTCAGGACAATCTTACAAATAAGACGTATTATTTTATAAATAAGAAGCACTGAAATACAGGGTGTTTTTTCTTACTCTCTTTTGCAAAGAGAGCTACTGGCAAGGCTGAAAACTAAGCTGAGATTTTCTCAGATGCAATTTAGTGCTCTGACTGCACTACCATCCTTGTTCTTACTAAACATCTGAACATTTCGTTAAGAAATTTACCACTCAGACTTTTTTTAAAGTGTTCATAACTTTGTGATGGATTTTTCTGTTTCTTCCTTTTTTAAATGTTTCAGAGATAGACATTTTTAGTGTCATTCTGCCTCACTGGATGAGTATTGTCTTAGTATGCTAAACTCAATAGAAACTTTGTTATTGACTTTAAAAAGGAGGAGGGAAAAGCCCTAATTTTATTACTTTTTAGAGTTATTTTATTAAATTAGTCATTCTCCATATGCCTTCCTGGGTGTATGCAAATTCCTAATTACAGGAAAGAATTGTTTTAAGCAAAATTCTCACAAGAAGTATATACAATCCCATAAGGTACTAAAAATCCATGCAGTCTGAAACATATGCATGCCAAAACTTCAGTCAACCCATTTTTGTAAGTAAAAGTAGCTGCACCATACTCTGATATGTTAAAGTTCAAAAGACATTGTGGTGGGGTTCCCAGGGAGGTGCATTTCCTAATAATAGGCCTCATTGGTTTATATCATTTAAGGTTTGACCGGCCCAGGTTAACTGGCTCTGTACCAGTGCAATGTAACATCTGGTCAGTTTGGAAAAAAAAACCAAACACTTCCCTGGCTAAGTTCTGTGAACTGATTAGCATGCACAACTCAATATGATACCAAACTAAATCTTGGGCCTATTCCTGCGGAAGCCAGTTGGTACAAAGTACCAACTGTTTGTATGGTAAAATAAGTAGGTAGTTGGGAGAGTAGCAGAATAGGGGTATTTAGGAGGAGGAGGGACTTACTCACTGAATCAATAACAAGAAAATGGTGCCAGCAATATGAATGGAAGTGCTTCTTGAGGCTGTGCTCATGGACCATGACAGAGGAAGTTTATTTGCTTTGTGTAAAGGCCTTTAGTTAACATGGAAATTAATGATTCCATTAATTTCATTCAGAACTAGAGACCTTTTTCAAACTTTTAACCTTCTGGCTGTATGTGATTTACATTCCTTCTTAGTTGACCACTAATTTCAAACACAAAACTATAATTATAATAATTATGAGGCACAACTGAAGTGAAAACAGCAAAACCCAAACTTAATCCTTTTTTTCGATACGAGGTAATATGTTACTTAACAAAGTGAACTTCAGGCAAAGATGACACTTTGCAAAAATACAGCCCACACATACATGAATAATTATGCAAATATTTAAAGGATTCAGGAATTTTTATTGCTCCCAGACAGGTCTCTGGACAACCAATTCAGTACACAACAATAAGGAGTTATCAGCCTCTTTAAATTTAAACAGGAATAAAACTACAGCTTCCATGTCTGACCTCTTTCTTCTCTCCTATGAAATACTCACACTGTACTCCTTAAAACTATTTTTAAAGTACTAAAGTACTACTTAAAGAACTACTTTCTTAATGAAAAAAAACCCTCAAGATGTGAATCCTACTCAACAGAAAGGGTCTATTCTTAGAGTACCCTCTTCACTTTGTGGTATTCTAACATGAGGAAAATTATCTTTCTCTGTCTCTGAAAAGTAATTAGTATTTTGGAACCACTTCACTATTCTAATGGCAGCACACAGTATCACAGTCATTCATCATGACATTTTCAAAGCAGCCAGTAAATTCTGTCTCCTAATGTATAGACATGATTGTGAGCAAAGTAATCTCCACTTTATAGCTATTACTTGGTTTTTAGAAATATTATATTGATTATTGGACCCACGGAAGCAACTGAGTTAACTTGACTAAGGCACAGACCTGATTATATGCACCACATTTAAGCAATTATAGTGGAAACACAAGAAGCAAGCTTAGTTTGGGGTCTAAAGCTATAGGCTATATAGCTGTTTCAACCTCTGTTTACCTTCACTTTTGAGACTTAAAAACCATATCCTCTTGACTGTAAACAATTGAACTGTTTGCAGTTTAAAAAATAAATGGAAAAAGGAAACAATGTCTTTATGAGAAAGCTGGTGTGAATGTCCTGTGTACTCAGTATCAATTATGTATCACTGGGGTTTTCACATATTTATTATTTTTCAGCACTTTTTACCTGGAGTAAAATGATTTCCTAGTTTAAATAAATAAATAAGTCCGTGGCTATTTGGTCAGAATAGAGCAGCCCAAACCACACATCTGAAAGGAAAACAACAAACACCAAACAAAGCAGTGCTCATATGTGAATGGAAGCAGCTCTATTCATGGGTATCAACGGCTTTTTCATTTGAGATTAATTAATTGCTTTGGGTTGTTTTAGCTTGTCCACCTTCCCACTGGGGACCAAACTGCATCCACACATGCAACTGCCACAATGGGGCTTTCTGCAGCGCCTATGACGGGGAGTGCAAGTGTACCCCAGGGTGGACTGGTCTTTACTGTACACAGAGTAAGTGACTTTTGTATTCCATTCTCAGTCTACAAATCAGTGACAGAATTATCCTTCAGACTGAAGCCATGGGAACAGCTTCTGTCTCAGCTGTGGCTGTGATCTGCTGAGGCACAGCCCCTCTTGTCACTGCAGAGTGATCACACTGTACATCCAATATCTGCAATTGCAATTACAACAGCTGAAGCTCAGTACCTGTAATTCAAATACTAATACAGGAGTTATTTTATCTGGAACGTGGAAAGTTAACTTCACTAGACTGTAAAATTATAGTTTTGGGATGTTTTTCATTTAATAATACATTAATACTGATTTTTTTTCCCCCCAAGAGCTTTTCATTAAAATAAAAAAGCCATGCATGACTGGGTGCAGGTATGTGGCACTCATTGTATGCTGGGTGAGAGTTCATACAAAGTTTGAGAAATAAACATTTGCTAGAAATAAATTTTGATAGAGCTGGCTTCTTTCTCATATTACACCTTCAATTTGGTTTACCTTCAGTTCAGGTAGTCACACCCCCACTGACTGTAATCTGGGCAGAACTCTTATCTTTGACCTCAAGAAAAATGTGACTGCTGACTGTGTTCTGCATTCAGTGTTTTAAATACATATTTTTCAGAAATCAGAACTCTCCTTTTTCCAATGAATAATGTCAGAGTGTCAAGAAATAACAGATATATTGCAGGGCCATATGGATAAAGTTCTGGAAGACATTTACTATGCTGTTCTGCTGTGAGCTATCATGGTTATTTTGCATCCTGCTGGTGAATAATGATCTCTTTGCAGTGGTATGTCTTCTCCATACTGAAATGGTATCTTTGTGAGTAGCTCACATACAATATGCTGTTATTTTTATTTTTGTTGTGCTTCAGCATAAATTGTGAGGAAAAGATGTCCAAATATTCACTGACTGCTGAACAGACTCCGTGGTCTGGTTCACAAACTGCCCTCCTTCTCCTCACTCAAATACCTTCTCAAACCCATTTCTTCAAAGAGCTGTTCTTGCTGCCTTCTTCAGAACCTCTGTTGTCTGCACTATTTCCCAATTTCTGCTCAATTTCCCAAACCCATTTTTATGCAGATTTTGCCTAATGTGTATTTTAAACCACTTCAAATAAGATAGGGCTCGATCTCTTGTGTTTATAGAATGTTCCTGAAGCTACAGAAATGAGCTCTCAGTAACACACTAAACCAGAATATTCGCGTTTCATTTCTGGAGTGGCTGTTTCACCTCTTTTTCCCGTCCCTCTCCTTGTGCTGCAGGATGTCCCTTGGGGTTTTTCGGGAAGGACTGTGCATTGATCTGCCAGTGTCAGAATGGAGCCGACTGTGACCACATCAGCGGGCAGTGCACATGTCGCACGGGGTTCATGGGCAAGCACTGCGAGCAGAGTGAGTGTTCTGGCCACAGTGGGAATTCTGACAGGGGAAGAGCTTCAGGAGCTGGACCGAGGCTTTTTCCTAAGAGAGAAAAGCCCACAAAACTAGTTATTAAGACTGATGATTGCAATGGCTGTTTCTTTCAATTTGTAGCTCCGTGTAAGAGGCATTTGCACTATGTTTTAGTTGCTTTGGACTTAAAGCTAAAAAAACATCCAACAACTCTTGTCATGTAAAAGCAATATATGAATCCAAGTAATTGTGATTAGCATAAACCACAATGAAAAGTAATAGTTAGAAAACTAATAGTTAGAAAACTAAAGATAAGAAGTGGTGGGGATACAATTAATCAGTGCAATGTGGTTTTGCAACACATTTGGATTATAAAAGCATTGTAGATGCTATTTTGTTTTCATATGTGTGTGGTTGTTATACATGAAAATCAAGAATAACACCACTGACATCAATAGTGGTGCCACATTGTACAACATTAAAAGAAGAATCCGTCTCGTAAGCACAGAAGTGTTTGTCCAACTCTTGCTGACTTTATGGAGAGGTGCTCCCAAATTCATGCACTCTGATGATTTCTCTGTTTCACTTCAAAAGAGCAATAAAGTTCAGGGAAAGACTAACTTTTTAAGACAGTCACTTGATGTCAAAAAATAATTTTGAATACTTTGGCAAATCTAAGTCTATTATTACATTTTATAGATTTTATATTTTTCTTAGAATTTTATAATAATGATGTAACAATATTAAACTAAATGCTTTGGTATTTGTTCTAATTCAGATTTTAAAATGCCAAAATATTTTATGACATGATATTTTTTGCCCAGACATTTACTTCAGTAATTAAAATTTTGTTTAATTGAGTGTAATAAAGAGAAGGATAATCTATATAGACATGGAAGTTTCACTTGAGACAAGACTGCAAAAACATTATCTGGCATTCATTGTGTTACTTTACTTTGTAAATTATTCTAAATTAGGAATGCCTAGAAGGTGAGTTATATTCCTTTAAAAAGACAAAAAGAAGAACAAGTTAATATAATTACAGAACTCCTGAGATATTTCAGAAAATTGAGTCTCAGAAGGTGAAGAACTACCATACTTGCTGAAACCATCAGAACTACTATAATGTAACACATTAGTGTTACACACAGTACCAGAGGTGGCAGCATAAAAGAAATAATTTTTATCAGTTTAGGATAATTCTCTACCATGCTTATGTCGTGATGTAGGAGACACTTTGATCAGTAATTAATTATTGTATTCAAGTCATTCTGGGAGAGAAAAAAATCTGTGAAACTCTTCCAATTAGCTTATTCTCCAAGATTTAGCATTTTCCTCCTGTAGGTAGTTTCTCAGTATATACATTACAGTATCAAAGCAGCAGTTTTATTTTTATATAAATGTGTGTTGCACTTTAGACTCACTGTTATGGCCCTTTCTTCTTGCTATTTTACATCAGCACATCTGTCATAAGATACGACAGCAGCCAGATATCTGACTCCACCTGTATGATTACATGATTTTTCAAGCACTGGGATATGAGCAACCCGAAAGACATTGTGTTCTGGCTCTTTATTCACATCTTGCCCATTTCTTCCCCGTCTCCTACCCTTTTTATCTTATTAGGATTTTTTTTTCCTTTCTAACTGCACTGCCTTAGTGGCAGCAACATTGCAGGTAAAGGATGAATACACTTCTAAATAAAATTTCCTTCTCCTTTCCCACACACAGACACACACGCTGAGGGGTCCTCTTAGGATTCCTTCCCTAAGAGATCTGCTGCTAATGACACATTGCCATCTGCTGACCACGGACTGAAACGTGTGCGGTTAGAAACGTGTGGCACTGCAGGTCTGTAATTAGCAAAGCACTTAATAAGTACTGACTGTGTCTCATTTTCACTTATGCAGAATGTCCCCAGGGTACATACGGGTATGGGTGCCGTCAGATCTGTGACTGTCTGAACAACTCAACCTGTGACCACATCACTGGCACGTGTTACTGCAGCCCAGGCTGGAAAGGGGCCAGGTGTGATCAAGGTAAAGCCTGGATGCAATAAAACTACTGCAACTGTTTCCTGTAAAAATTGCATTGACCTATGAAATACCATCTCTGGGTCATTTATTAAGTAAATCTGAGAAGGTATGAGCATTTAAATAGTCAATTCTATTAAATACGTTCTGTACACTTTAAATGAGACACCTCAGTGATAGTTAATTGGAGCAAAGCTGTCAAGTGTAGATTGCACAAAATGTTTTACAGTGTCCAAAGCATGTGCTTTACCTGCCCTGTCCTTTTGCCTAGGGAATATTCCTACTTCAAATTCATGAAAATATCTCTTTCTGTGAAGATCATGAATGTTTTTCCTTAAGGTTAGGATTGTCCTAAGGTTAGGATTGTCCTCACATTGGTTTCTGACATGGCTCTATTTTGGCATTATTAAATACAGTTAGGTTAGCAGGAAGATTTAGAAGTGAAATCTTGTCTTCTGCTCCTGACACATGACCTTCTGAGTTCATGCCACATATTTTTATTTCTTCTTGTATTTCAGCTGGTGTAATCATTGTGGGAAACCTGAACAGTTTAAGCCGTACCAGTACTGCCATCCCTGCTGACTCCTACCAGATAGGGGCTATAGCAGGCATCATTGTTCTTGTCCTGGTTGTGCTTTTCCTGCTAGTGCTGTTCATCATTTACAGACATAAGCAGAAGGGAAAAGAAACAAATATGCCCACAGTGACCTACACCCCTGCTATGAGGATCATGAATGCAGATTACACCATTTCAGGTAAGTGATGTTTAGAACAGATTTTATCCTCAAATATTTTTCTTCATTAAACAGTGGAAGTATGGACATTTCTATTCCCCTGTGCCTGTTTTTAAAGAGAATGGGAGTGTGGCAAAATATGGTTTCTACAGAGACTTTAAATTCAATGCCAACAGCTTGAATACAGAAAGGCTGCTATGGCTGTAGAAAAATCAAGATTTCACACTATCTGTGGCAGGATTCTGTAGAGAACCAGATAGGAAAGTGGCTCAAGTTTGAAACAAATTAAGGGAAAGAGAAATGAAGCAAACAGGAGTTTCTGACCTATGAAAGTGCCTGTGAGTTGCGATGCAGTGAGTACACAAAACTTAAGGCAATGCTGTTTTTTGCACACCACTGTTTAAGGAAAGCAGCAGTTGAAGACAACAGCAGAAACAGTTGTCAAGAGTTAAGAAAAAGCAAATCAGCAAAGGTACTAGTGGCTCTTGAAGCACCAGAAAATGTTGGTGTGAACTTAATGGTGCAAGTGACAGTGATTAGGGCAATGCTATGACTACAGAGATAAAACAGAGATGTTAACAAGTAACACTTGTGTATGATCTTTGCTGAAAGTGGGGACATGACTAGTTACTTACTGCTCTGTATCTCTAATTTCTTTAAATAAATGCAACATTTTTAGTTTTGTTTCGGTAGGTTTTTTTAAGAAACTCAAAATCAGATTTTGAAATCAGAGCAGCACTGTCAAAAACATATCTTTGAGGAAGAAATGCCATGTTATTTTCAGTTGTTCATTTTCCTGTCTTTTTCTTTTCAGAAACCATCCCTCACAGTAATGGTGGAAATGCCAACAGTCACTATTTCTCTAACCCTAGTTATCATACTTTAACTCAATGCACTACCCCACCTCATGTAAACAACATGGAGAGGCTGACCTTAGCAAAGGTAAAGCATAAAAATCTGTAAACTTCTCTGTCAATTAGTCTTCAGTTTATTTTACTTTATTCCCTGATGTTTCCCATTTGGTTTATTTTTGCTTTCCCTGATTATCAGGTGGAAATTCAGCAGCTTCCCACTAGTTTCAGTTTCTATTGCCTATCTTTCTTTGAAACAGGCAAAAAACAATCAGCTGTTTGTGAACCTTAAAAATGTGGAACCTGGAAAACGAGGTACTGCCATGGACTACACAGGAACACTGCCAGCAGACTGGAAACATGGTGGCTACCTCAATGAACTTGGTAACGAAAAAAAAAGGAGAGAATGTGAACATTATTCATTGTGTGTGGGATGGATTAGAAAGCAGGAATGCTTTTCTGAGTCTCCTCTCAGGGTAATACCAAGTTGGTCAGATTGTGTGTGAGGTTCAGGGTTATAGGTTTGACCTTCCCTCAGAGACAAAAAAGTGACTCCTTGTGAGGTATGCTGAAACAGTCTGATTCCCAGCACAGACATGATATGCAAAATATCTCATATTATTTTTGTTAGAAGGTTTGCTTATTGATTAGTTTTATAAAGCAATGGGTATTGTACGATAAGGGTCTGCTTTGAAAAAATTACATACTCTTATTAAATAAATGAAAAGTTGCATGTATTCTTTTTTTTTAATCCCTACCAAATGGAATCAATGGTTTAAAAAGTAGTTTCTCATCATCTGAGCTGCTTCATATGTAAATTCTAGGAGATCTTCCCAGCTAAGCCTCCCATTTGCTAGAAGACAGAACATTATCTCTAAGAAGAAAAATTCCTAAGAAGTGGTTAGAGTTGCTGTATCCTGCTTTATGCTGTCTTTTCATTCTTTTCCAAACTCATGCACTCCAAAAAGGCTGGATTGCACTGGCCAGTGAAAGACCCTTAAAAGGGACTTTCAGTGCCAGTATCATTTAGATCATTTAATTACCTTCATTTCTGGTACTTACAAATATATGAGATTCTGGGAATCAGAACAACTGTATGCAGCATTGTTATGTTTCCTGCTCATCCCCAGTCTTGGTCAAACCACCATTCAGGCTCAGATCTCTTGGGTTTGTTTTGGGGTTTTTACAGAAAAGGGTTACATAAGCCTTGATGTTCAGCTTCACATTTTTTTAGAGCATTTGTACTTAAGGCTCCTAAGAGATACTTGCTATGGTTAACCCGTGGCAGGAGATTCTCAGTAACAGTCCAGAGGACTAGATGAATGCTGATATTATGTCTGTTTCCTAGAAGATCAAATGGGATTACTTGGGTAACTTGGTGACCTGGGCATAAGACTTGTAAAAACAACAGAACAGCTGACACGAGATCTAATAAGATGAAGTAGGAATAAAATTAAACAGGTTTAGGTCTCCTCAAATAATATAATTTCCTTCTTGAAAACTATGGTTTTTGCTTACAGAGATATGGTATTGATAAAATGATTTTAGGCTTTCATAAAGTTCCTGGCACAGTACCAAAATACAGTCATAATAACCAGGTAAGTGCCAGGTCTCTGGAGACAGTGTCATGCACTGCTGATGTTTACATTCGGATTTATATTGAGAGAAATCTCTTACTAACAGGTAATTGCAAAGTTGCAGACTCAGGTGCTGTGTGCTTAGGCCATTCGTGCAGGTCAAGAGACTGTAACAGGGACCCTGGGCATGATTAATTTTGGCAATAATTAAATTTGGAAGCAAAATATCAAGGAGTGAACTTTCCATACCCTGAAACTTTCAGGTTAAGATGGGATGCTCTTCTGGTAGATATGGTTTATCCAGACAAAAAAAATATGCTTTAATCAAATAGCAGTTATTAGGCTCATTCAAGAGTAACTGGGGGAAATGTAATGGCCTGTGACATATGTGAGGTCAAAGCAGATAATTTAGTGGTCCCTTGTGACCTTCATCACCTTCCATGTTCAGGAAGCTCCTGTCTGAAAGGGTGCAAGCAAATAGTAACAACACTTCTGTACCCTGGGCAGTTTCACAGCGCTTATGACAGAATTATTGTGTACAGCTAGAAATTAATCCCTAAGCGATTTTTTAAACCCTTTAGAACCTGTTGTTTAACCACTTTTATTTTCTTTGATTTTAAAGCTACTTTGTTTTTTATATAATTTTTCTCAGGTGCTTTTGGACTTGATAGGGGATATTTGGGGAAGTCTCTGAAAGGTGAGATTATTTTCTGATGTATTCAGATGAAATGACACAGACATTCAGTTTACTTTTCTATATTACCTTCTGGGTGAAGAGCATATAAAAATAATTTTGCACTAAATTTTTCTTAGACATTGAATCAATACATGAAGTTTGTTCTTTTCTCTGAAGGGAGGAGGCTATTTAGAAAAAAAAAACAAACAACAAACCAAGCCTTTATAATTCCTCTCTGTGTTGCACATCAAATGTTTCTGTAATGCTTGAGTCACAACACAGCTCCATTCTAAAAGCAGAAGGGGGATGGCCCTTGAATTCAGCCTAGTGAGTGAGGTGAGGACATGCTGTCTCTGCTGAAAGGCTTCAGAAGAGAGCCAATTCCTCTTGCAGCTGGCATGGTCAGCGTAGGTCTGTGTGACTGCAAGCCTGTAATGCTTCACCACATTCACTGCAGGCCTTTGGAAAGCATATCAAAATACAAATACACAGAGAGGAATTAAAGGCTTCAGAAATTCAGGGTAGCACTGATATTTTGCTCTTTTGAATTTTTCAGTTTTCTCATAAGACTTTACACTGTACCACACTGGTGTATGTCACTATTTTTGATACCTGATTAAGGTGTGCATACGCAAAAGATGTAAAGATTTGGCACTTATGGGCATGGTTTAGTGGTGGGCTTGGCAGTATTACATTAATGGTTGGACTTAATGATCAGAAAGGTCTTTTACAACCTAAACTAATTCTAGGGTTCTACGGTTAGAGAAAGACCGATTTAAATGAGTCGCAAAGTTATGAGCACCTGTCTACTTACAGTTTCACTAAGGGCAATCTCATTGCTAAATATTGAATGAGAAACAAGCTGACAAAGTCTCATCTCTGAAGCATAAATAACACATCATATCACGAAACAACACAGAGAACAAAGTAACACAAACACCACAAAATCACTTCCCAGCATAAGAAAATATATCTCTGAAACCACAGTTATCTGTCCTTCAGTGAAATCCTAAATCACAAGCTACCTGATGTTTCCTTTTCAGTTCTTCTGTTATCACGTTACAGAAACTTGCAAAGAAGCTCTTGCAGCCACACTCTTTCAGTGTGGCTGCATAGTAAAACTTTTCACCAAACATGCCATCCATAGAAGTAATGTTACCATTTGCCCAGACATTGGCCTTGGGAACAGTCTTAGATCACTTACTTTAATAGTGTCCTGAGAACAGCACTTGGAGGGGCAAAACGTATTCTGAATTATTGAAAACTGATACTACACATTATCTGTATATTGTTGTAGGGTATCTGTCGGTAGGTCTTGGTCCCTGGGGGAAAGAAAGACACACACACAAACAGAGTGCTGAGACCAGGGGTGTCAGCAGGCAGGTGAGAGTAGCAGGCAGCTTCATTGAGTTCTCTAAGGTCTGTTTTCTCACACATATAATAGAAACATATTCTTACAAAAACACCCAGGAATGCAGCACCTGCACGCTGCCAAACAGCTTTGACCTTATACTGCTTAACAGTAAAGGCTGTATCTATGGGTACATGCAATTATCCTCACTTTTCTCAAGGGAAAGGTCTCACACCCTGTAACACTTCAAACTCTTCTACTTCTAGGGGTCTCGGGGGTTCTATGGGCCTGCCATCTCCCCCCACAGTATATAATGCTAGCTACTGTTTTAATCAGAATTGAAGATGCTCAGACTTTCAAACAGTAATTTGCTGGTGGTCAGATCAATCCTATTAAAAAGCACAGCACTTGAGGTGCTTTCTTTAATTGTTTTATAATAATTTTGAAGTTTTATGACTGGGTTCCATTTAAATGTTCATTTATGAGTGACTTTTCAGAACTCAGAATTAAAGAATGCCCTTTCTTCAGCAGCAGTGTCCATAATATGTACCATGGCTTGAGAGTAATACATTTTTCTTTTTGTAGATCTAGTGAAGAACTCGGAATACAATTTAAGTAATTGCTCATTAAGCAGTTCTGAGAACCCCTACGCTACTATAAAGGATCCACCAGCTCTGGTACCAAAAAGCTCAGAATGTGGGTATGTTGAAATGAAGTCACCAGCACGCAGGGACTCCCCCTATGCCGAGATCACCGGCTCTGCTACAACCAACAAGAACGTGTATGAAGTTGGTATGTACAAAATCTATTTCTGGATGCTCAAGGTTAAGGGCAAAGAGCATGGGACTTTCTTTTTTCTTTGATTCAGTTTAATCAAAACATATGAAAATTCACTGGGAAAAAAAATATATGTTCAGATTCTGTTTTCTGCTCAAATGCTTTTAACAATAACCTCCCTCTACTGAGATAAATGGTGTAATTCACACAAATGAGGTTTGAAATACCTTCAGCTCTGTTCTGTAAGCTAGAGGTGCCTCTGAATTTCCCTGGTTTAAAAGGCTTTCTCTAAACAGCAGCATGAGATAACCTTAGCATTTGATTGCAATACAATTCAACTCAACTGTTAAGTACTGAATACAGCTGGAGTTAAGTGTATGGGAGGGATAGGAAAGATCTATTTCTTTCTCTTGATCAGAATAAAACAGCATCTTCACCCATAGACATAGTATTTCAGTAATATGGGCCCTGTCTAGTTACTATATTACTTAATTGCAGAAAACTTTGGCATCTTGTGAAATGGTAGCTATCCTAATAATCTCTGGACTGGAATAAATTGTGTCCCATATCATAGGATACATTTTCCTTTTCTGTTCCCAACTTAGAAATGAAAATTCATCAGTATCCCCATGGTGCTTTTAAGGACTTTTCTAAAAATCTTGATTAAAACCCCCGAATTCAGGGTTTTTCTTAAGTTTGCCCACACATAAAGAAGAGATGCTGGTCCACTTGCTTCTGTCAGTAAATATCCTCACGGCAGGGCCCTGCTGCAGGTCTACAGGTGTAACTCAGTGTGAAGGCAAAACACCTAAACATCAACCTTGGTTTCTAAACCTGCACTTCAGGAACTCAGCATGACAAGGAATCTTCATATTGAAGCAGAACCTGAAATGAAATACGTTGTCCTTCTGTGTGCCACTTCTCATATTGAATGTATGTGCTCTTTTTTGTCACAGAACCCACGGTGAGTGTTGTGCAGGGACCATTCAGCAGCAGAGGGCATTTCAGCCAGGATCCTTACGATCTTCCAAAAAACAGCCATATTCCCTGTCATTATGACTTGCTACCAGTTCGAGACAGCCTCACATCCTCTACAAAGGGGGTCAGCACTGAATGACCCCAGAAGCTGGTTTGTAGAACAGTGGGACTCTCAAGGGGCAAATTGGCATGGTTGTGCTCCTTCCTCTAGTTTACCATCATATTTGGCTCCTAATCTGTCCAGCAAGTATTTGTTGTACATTAAACAGAATCTCAACACGAGGTTTGTATTGTGTATACAAGTGACAGATGGACAAATGCCACACTCTGGGGATCCTGATTATTTTTTCTTATGGCAGTAAACTTTATAGAAATGGGAATGCAACACATTTATACTGTAATATACTGGCTTAAAAATATTAGTTTGCAGATCAGTTTTGATAACATCCCATTTTAGTGACCTTAAATATAGACTTCATCTTTGTCATGTTTCAGACAGGACAGTGCAATTTACCAAATACCACTTTTTACAAGTGATCTGATTCATTAGTTATTCATTAGTAGAAGAAAAACTGCCTTGCCAAATTTTACCTTCCATTGTTATCTTTAGTCAAGACATTAAGAAACAAGATCTGATGGGGATAAGTAAGCACAATACTGCAGTTGTTTGAGAAATCCATCATCAGGCTTTTTTGTCCATTACTGGTGGTGGACATGGGTTGCTTGAATAGTTCTAGAGATAAAATAATTGCATACATCAGTATTATATGATGCTTCAAGATCTCTTAGTACTGCAGACCCTGCACTAGTCTTCAACAAATATTTTGCTACCATTTGTATATTGCAGTTCTGACCACTATTTCTGCCACACACAACTAATAATCCATAACATATCAGTAATTACTTCAAAAAATATGTAAAATAAATCAGTTTATTTTTGTCACCATGGACTGATTATGTAAGGAGTGGACAAAGGTGATGACTTCTGTAAATCTTAACTGCAAGGAAGGGTTTACATTTTATAAACAGGTAGTAATAATGACTGTAATATAGAATAAAAATAGGAAAGTGTTCTGATTTTTTTTCTTAGAAATAACAAAGCAAACTCTGTGCATACTTGCTAAAAAGGCACCTTTTCTTTTTTATAGTTGATGTAGGGAAACACATGCTTAAGCTGGTCTTTTGCATTGCTAATAATGTGACACATGTATCTCCCATTCTTCATTAACTTCTATCTCCATTTTTACTCTGTGTGTCTGTGTTTCTAGTGAACTAGCTTGTAACTGCAAAAATATTCTACTATGTGTCCATTTATTTTGCATTTTTTGCCAAATGGCCTTTATTTTGTCCATTTAAAGGGACCTCTGGGCAGAGGGAGAGAATTAAAGTAAGAATTCACGTCATACTGATGTCTATCAGGAGGTGATTACCTAATACATAACAGTTTAACCTAATTTGTTAATTGGGACAAAAAAATTATGGTGTTTTTGTTCAGAATGATAACAAGAATGCAGAAGAAAAGTAAAAAACAGTTCCTCGTTGAAGTTTAGCTTAGTCCGTTACTCATGTGGATGGAGACCATCTTTCCAGAAGAGCCTTTTTTCCAAATAGGGCTGTAACTCCTTCCTAAACAGTCTGCTCTCTGGCTTAGCACATGGACTGCCATGACATCTGGGCTGCAATACAATCTGACACAAAGAATTATCACAATTGTGACAGCACTGAAATATTCCTAAGAAACCCACAACCAGTTGCCTTTGGAATACTAAATGCCATAGAGGAATAACTGGAAGAAAAACTGACAAAACTTTCTCAATTTTTTTTAAAAGGAACACCAGAGCTGAAATGGAAGTACAATTTCCTTTTATTTGTTGTCACTAAAGTGGTGAAAAATGAGTAAGCTACTGGCAAAGACATTGTAGCAGATGTGCCTAAGCCTGAGAATTTATATGCCTCTATGAAATGTCCCATAACATTCTTGGTTCTGGCTAGCCGTGATAACTGGCTGTTTTGCAATTCCCTGGGCATTTCTTGTACATCCTTAGAAAAAATTATTTTATTTTATTTTGCTAGTTAACATTAACTAGAAGATTTCAGAAGCTGGTTACAATTTAATCCCTCTGTAAGACAAAGAAATGATTGGGTTTGTATGCATATAGATAATGTGTAGAGCTACTGATATATACATTTTTTGTATTGTGTGAAACAGACTTTAAAATAAAACCTTTCTTTTCTAAAGCCATGAATAGAAAGTGCTGCCATTTAGCAATTGTGAGCTCACAAAAACCTGTTTTCTTGCTCTGTGTAAAATTTGGAGGCCACTAGGTAAATGAATCTTCATAATCTAAGTTCTTTTTAACACGGGAAAGTGAAGAGCTGAATAAATGGTATTTTTTTGAAAATCTCCAGTATGTCTCATATCCACAAGTGATATATTCAGGCAAATATTCATGAAAACAGATGAGTTTATGAAAATTTTGCCTATTGGGTATGTTCTAAATATATACATTACCAAGGTCTGCCTTTCTGTATGTGGGTAAAACTCCTGCTGTGTAGTCAGCATAAGCAATGTCTGCATTTATCTGAGCTGGGTGTGCAACACATACAGGTAGAGTAAACGTCTTGTGAGTTTACTTCAGTGAGTGATCCTTGGTAGGTGCTCAAAAAACATTTCCTGGAGTACACTCTGCTCTCAACTTGAGACCCCCAAGCTCAATCTTCATGACAGTCAGAGGGTCCTTTTTGTAGATTCCACTCTGATCTTTACAGAATTTTAATATTTCTGGAATGTGCACACTTACATTGTGGAGAAAACTGAGTAAGTTGATGTAATAATTTTGGCAAACACTCAGAGAATTGGCTTCCACAGACAGGAAGGAAAAGAGACACTTTGTCTCTATATATTCACATCACAGTTGTGAGAAACAGCATTGAAAATTGAGATAGCTCTCCCCTTCCAACTTGCGATCATTTTAATAAAGTTCAAAATGCCGCACAAAGTTAATAGCTGATTTTAAAGTAAGTAGCGAGTATAAACTTTAGATTTTAAATACTGTAGGCATATTAACTCAGGCCATTTAGAATATGAACCTCAAGGCTTTCTACTATATCAAAGATTTTTCATCACGACACATGGTCACAAACAAAATTTGTCCTTATCTTGATCTACCCAGAGAACTTGCATTAACTCAAATTGGAGATGCACACGCAGATTACAGGGGAAAGAAGATTTCATTGTACTCATACTTCCTGCTGAGACAATCTGCAAAGTCAAGTTTGTATTGAAGTGAAGTTAGTATAAAATAAAAGTGGAAAATGTGTTATTTAAAATATACTGGATTTTCAAGTACTGTAACTATAATTTTTTATCAGATATGTGTCCAAATAATAATTCTTAGACCGAAGCTCCAAAGCCCAGACTAAATACAGAGCTAATTTTGACAAAAAATGCTTTATATTAAAGACTGTATATATAGTATCTGAAATTACTGAAGACAAATGGGTGTATGTTCATCAGTTGCTGTACAAAAAATTTTGTCATTTGATACACTCATACTAGTGTTAGAGCACTGAACCTAACACTTCTTTCTTCAGTTTTTTAGCCCACAAGACTTCACTTTGATATGATTGAACTGTAATATATTTTTAAAGAAAATCTATCGAGTATGCCTGGCTCTTCTTCTTAGTTGTAACCAAAAAAAAAAGTGTTTTGTTTGAAAATATATATTTTTTCCAAAGATGACTGATGTTCATCATTCTGCCCCTCACTACCATTTACTTCAACTTCACATACCTGTAGGTTAATAGAATAACATTTCTAATGAAAGGTGGGAAATGCTTTGAATTTTTTTTTTCCTTTGTTTTTCATTTGCTTATGATGGATCTTGAGTGGGAAATATAGAAAATGTCATTCTTGCTGTCATGGTTTGACCCCAGCTGGCCACTCACTCCTCCAGGGAGGAGAAGTGGAAAGGAAACTTTGTGGATTGAAATAAGAAGTGTTTATTAACTGACACAAAATAAATTACTATTACTGCATAAATTACTACTACTAAAACTAATAATTGTACTGAAAAAGAGGGAGAAAAAAATAAATGCGGAGGGCACAGAAAGTCAGGAAGTAAAGTTTATTGAATGGAAAAAGACGGCTGCAAGAAGTTATGGCTGAGAACAGCGACAAATGAAGATATGATTTGAAGATATATAACATGATGCGGTTAAGACAGAGACTGTTATTAATTAGAATTGTTAATGCATGTTCGCTATTTGTTGTACCCCAGTTTTTATCGAATTTCACATTTTTCCCTTCAGAATTATGCCCTTTTTTCTATTGGTTCACGTTTGCTGCACTGCAGATGTTTCTCTCATTGGTCCCTCCTGATCTCATGTTCCCTCCTTCCTTCCCTGGTTGGTTATCACCCCTGTCAATCCTATGCTCTTTCCTGTTTTCCAGAACCTTCCCACCTTACCCTATAAATAGAGCTAGACACCTTCAATAAAGGGAGATAGCCCCAAGCTATATCACTCTGCTTGAACCCATGGGCTGTCGAGTCTTCTTTTTATGATGACTGCGGCGAATAAACCCCAGGAGATAACAGTGATGCACAGTGTGGTTGCTCACCACAAAACACAGCAGTGTACCAGCTACTAAAAAGAAAATTAACTCTGTCCCAGCTAAAACCAGGACACTTGCCTGTGCTGGTCCACCAATTGATGCATTTTATTTTCCCTCTTTTAGAAAATAGTTTATCAAAGGCTTTGCAGAAAAATCAACTGAACTTGTGTGATTACTGTCTGGTGCTGTGGGAAATAATTCTGTAAACAGGACAATTCTTTCAAGCCTCTCTTGAATGCCTAAAGCTCTAACTTTGAGAAAGATGGCAGGCTGAGTTGCCAAAAGCAAGGCATTTCCCCTTTTTAGTCAGATAATAGCCTTGGATTAAGCATTAAAAATAGTACACAAAGTACAAACACAAAGGGCTGTAATGTATTTTAACTTCTAACTCTGACGCCCCTATGAGAAATTCAAAACACAGGCTACAAATGGTGTGAGAAATTGTTCTTTACTATCACAGGTTGATCAAGGAGGACAGATATGACATTAAAAACTAATAGAAAAATAAAATGGTTTGGATGGGAAGGAGAGAGAGGAGAAGACCTGTGAGACTGAGACAGAGACCCCCGTGGAAGGAACCAGGGGGGCACAGAGAGCTGGAGAGCAGAGCATGGGGGAATTTGTCCCTCCCAAGTGTTGTCCAATGCACCTACCTGCCATGTATGCCTGATTTATTCAGTCACAGAGGTCTAACTCTTCAGATTCAAAAAACTACAATTCAGTATTGTAAAAGCGTATTTCTAGTTTCCAGGCTTTTCTGAGCAAATCTGAGAAATACAACTTCGTATTTCTTCACCACTATTGAAACAGAGGGCTCCATCATAAACAACTGACTTCTTTTACCTTCAAACAGCCATCTTACTAGTGTAAGAGAAGAAAATAACAAGTGATCCTGATTACATACGGTAAATAATCATCAGTTATAAATTAATATTCTCAATAAAGACTCATGTTTTCACTTAAAAAGAAAGGCTTAGACATTTCAAATCTATTGCAGATTATTACCAGAAAAAGAAGTAGAAGGATACTGGGGACTGGGAGTTTTCCTGACCACAGGAAACAACCAAGCTCCCTGGTCTCTCACACAGAGAGCAGAGTCCTAGGCTGGCAGACTTAATCCCCTGGAAAGGGGAGACCCCCTGGCAATAGTGGGGAATGTTGATCAAATTATGGAGAGTGTACAAAAAGCTGCCTGCTTACAAATGATGCCATGACAGAGAGTTAATGCCATGACACAAATGCCCAGTGATGATGCCTGTGGACCCTGAGAGAATGACACCCCTCATTAGAGGTCACCCTGAATCCTTGAAACCCATGGGCATCCATCTAAAGGGACAAATAGGAAGCCTTGCTGGTGGGGAAGAGCTGTAGCCACCTTAGAGGAGGCAGTAACCCCCAACCACAACCATAGTGAACATAAAACTTGGACTTGAGGGGAAGTGACACATTAATTAATTATGGAAGAAAATACAGCCCAATTGTCCCTAGCAAAATTGGCTCCAAACTAATTCAGCACACAGAATGTAAAACACCTACATCCCCCATGGGACTCAGAAAAGTAACATTCTCCCTCAGGCAAGGAGGACGCATCCACACAAATGAGGAACATTGGAGAAAAAGAAACGGTCTTTGGATTTTAGACTTGCAAAAAGGAATCCCAAAAACCCTAATGGTCAGCAAATGCACTGATAAATCAGAGATATTAGTGGGTAGCTGAAAGAAGAATCCACAAAAGCTGTTGTCCCTGTTACAGTCCCACCTTTAGAGGCACCACAAAGGGGAGGAGGTGGGAAACCCTCACATAAAGGTATGTATTTGTTGTTGATGCATTTGGATACACCCAACCCTAAATAACAGTCAAGGTTACCGAGAGAGGAGAAAGTGATTGAAACCCTAACTGTTCTGTGGGAATTTCCTACTAATTTACTGGGGCTGGACCTCCTAATGGGAAGGTCTTAGATGCACAATAAAGAGAAAATAAGAGCTTTTTGGAAGGAAACCCATCATTTCTGTTCTCTAAGTGCTGCCTTCCTGCTTCCTCCTTCCCTTGTAACCAACGTCAAACCTTACTCCTTACTCCTGGCAGCCAGAGAATGAATCACCCCAGTGACAGAATCAGATGTCCCACCTGGGATGGGTGGCCACACTGGCCAGACCATAAAAATAAAGGAGCACAGGAGCTCCATTTTGCCTTTTGTCTCAGGACCTACCATTGCCGTATGAACTTCCCAGACTTCCTTAAGTTTATATAGATATGTTTGGAAGTGTTGTGCTCAGCAAAGCAGTGCTCAGCGGAGCAGACCACAGGAACCAAGACCCACCAAAGCATCACCTGAGAACATCCAAGTTCAGATCCAGACTGTTTATGTGTTGTCTTATTTGAGTTGTGAAAAATGAAATAAGGTTTTGCTTCAGCCATAAGACCTTATGGACACAAGGGAGAGGGGGAGGGAAGTTAATGCATGTTTACTACTTCAGGGCAAAGAGTTGTTAAGGCCAATAGAAAAGGTGATACTGAAGACCTGCCCAAAAAAGGAAGAAAGAGCGGAGGTTAAGGTGGCCGGGAAAGGATGTAAGTTCCTGAGTACCCAGCCAAAGGGAAAAGGGACAGGGGCCCCACCGGTTGGGGAAGGGTATAAAAGGCCATCCATTCTGAGGAGAGGTGTGCCTCCCCAGAGGGATGCACCCAACTCAGCTGACTTATTTATATCAATAAATAGCTTTGCTTTGATGACTTTGTCCTCTCTCAGTTTTATCCATAAGTGAGTATTTCTCACAATCTGGGGGCTCTGGCCCTGCAGAGAGGCACAACAGGGGGAAGGCACACCATGCTGATTTCAGCAGCCCTCAGCCTGTTGCCGTGCCCCATGGCAGGCTGCAAGTGAGACCTGGATGGAGGACTCTCAAAGCAAAGGGGGAAGGAGAAGCAGAAGAGGAGAAAAGGCTGCAGTATACAAGCGGCAGCCCATCATATCTGTGCACAGGACCCAGGTAAGAAATGTGACTGTTGAGTATTATCTGGGCGGCTGGGAGGAGCAGGACTGAGTGTGTGACTGAGACACAGAATTGCCCGGGAAGCAAGTGTGGAGTCATTTTAACTGTGGTTCTGACACACCACGAGGAGAACAGCCAGTGATGGGACGAAGTGAGATGGTTCTAGGAGAAAGGAGTCCTGTGGGAATTCAAGAGATGGGAAATAGACTTAGTAGGAAGAATAAGAAGAGGGGAGAGTAGCCTATAAACTCCACGCCAAGCATACTTTGTGACAGTCTTTTTGGGACGATGCTCAGAGACTGGGGACAAGAGGGAATGTCTTGTACCCAGAGAAAAGATAAAAAGAAAATTATACAGTATTGTATGTTTGAATGGACTAAGGAACCTATTAGATCTGACCAGTTATATTGGCCAAAGTATGGGTCATCAGAGGATTGGATTTGTCAGGCTCTAAAATTATATGTGAATGCTCAGAGACCTTTTAACCAAGAGGAGAGCAATTATGCTTCCTATTGGAAAAAGAATTTTTTTGTGTGTGGCTAAAAATGTGGAGAAAAATAGAGAAGAGAGAAAAATGGGAAAAATGGGACCCTTTAGACCATTTACCCCCTCCCTATGCACCAGATGGGGAACCAAATGCTCCAGTTTTAGAAGAAGTAGTTAATGAGAGAGGAGAGAATGAAAATGGAAGGGTCCCCATAAAATGGTGGGTCCTCATGGCATGGAGGGTCCCCCTGAAATGGCAGATCAGACACCATGGAGAACTCAAAGCACCAGAGCTAGAACAACTGAAAAAGGACATTCAAAACATCCCACTCCCCAAGTGCTAGTACAGCCACACCAGTATTTCCCTTGCAAGAGGTGGCCATGCATGGAGCCACAGAGGGAGTAGGGTTTGTCAACAGAGCCCTCACCAGTACTGAAGTTCAAGAATTCAAAAAGAGATGAGTAATATATTAGAGGACCCCTTGGGGTTGTCAGAACAATTAGACCAGTTTTTGGGTCCAAATATTTATACCTGCGAGGAAATGCAGTCCATTCTGGGAACCTTATTCACTCTGGAGGAAAGGCAGATGATACAGACTACAGGAATAAGAGTTTGGGAAAGGGAAAATCCACTGAATATTCAAGGGGGAATACCCGGTGAACAGAAGTTTCCCATTCTAGAACCTAACTGGGACCAGAATACAACTGAAGGGAGAAATAATATGTCTGATTACAGGAGGCTGGTAATTCGGGAAATAAAGGAAGCGGTGCCAAAGGGACAGAGTTTTGAAAAGGCATTTGAAAATAAGCAGCAAAGGGATGAATCACCCACTGCGTGGTTGCAGAGGCTTAGAAAGAATGTGCAGCAATATTCAGGAATTGCTCTCGAGGTAAGGAATTGCTGAAAGCAAACTTTTTCACTAAAGCCTGGCCTAACAGGAAGAAGAAACTACAGAAAGTGGAGGACTGGAGTGATAAGAGACTGAAGGAATTATTGCGAGAAACTCAGAAAGTTTGTGGTAGCAGAGATGATGAAAAGTAGAAGAGTAAAGGTAAGTTTATGGTGGCAGCAGTGGACCAAGTGATAAAATGACAACCCGGGAACGAAGCTGGGAGACAAAGGGGGGTAGTGCAAAGGAGTGGACAGCATAATTTTATGGTGCCCTGAGGGAGGGGACAGGAGTTAGCTACCTGGCAAACAGGTCCCAATAAGTGCTTTCATTGTGGGAAGGTGGGGAATTTTAAAAGAGAGTGTCCTGCATTACAGCAGGAGGTTAAAACCTTCCAACTGATGGAACTAGAGAATTATACCCAGCATTAGGTGTGTCAGGGGCTCTATTCTTTGGGGTCCAAATACCATGAAGAGCCCTTGATAATTTTAAAATTGAGGCCTCAGGAAAAGAATACATATTTATATATAGATTTAGGGGCCGA